AGAGACAGACAGACAGACAGAGAGACAGACAGACAGACAGACAGACAAAGATTCCTTGATTTCTAGGTGGATGATGCTGCTACAGCGCTGACTTGACCACCTACATCTACACATGTCCAACAAATGTGGTTGCAGTAGCACAAAGCGTCCTGGAGATATGACATTTTTTGAAATATAAGCCCTACCCACAGCAGGCATTCGAGCAAACCTTGAAGACATGCAGCTTATAGCAAAACTGTATGGAATATCAAAAATCCAAAGAAGTGACTTTTTCTGGCTCTGACCAGATGTTTTATCTTCCAAATATGGTGATGATTGCTTAAAATGTGTAGGAACAAAATGCTGAAAAACAGATTTGGACACAATTTAAAATGGCGGAAAATTGATCCAGATGCCAATAGGCGTGGTTTACATGGATAGATTCATCTGGACCCACAGGAAAGAGATTCTTGTTTCTGAGTATTGCGGTTCAAAGGTTACGGGACAAAACATGAAGCTTGTTGTTTAAGCGCCACCATCTAGTTAAATTGCACCAACTTCAACACTGCACGTCCTTGGGTCCAGAGCGATATACCCACATAGTGTGAGGTAGACTGGATGGATATGCGAAGGACAAACCCACGCACACACATACAGACAGACAGACAGACAGACACACACACACACACACACACATACAGACAGACAGACAAGAAATTCCTTGTTTTATAGTTAGATGTCGGTGTGCAGGAAATCGAGACAAGGTCTTCCACTGCTCTATAGCTGCAATGGATGCACTTGGGACCTGCTATTTGACGGCTGCATGGTGAAATGGAAATGAAATCATGACATTTTCTTTTGGAAATTTAAAACCACGTATTCTTACAGTAAGTCAGCACAGCGACAGACAAGATGAGAAATGTCTTTACACAGAGGATGAATGTCAAAACCTTTAAGTGAAAAAATCCACTGTTCTAGCCACTTAGATTTGACCTTTCTCGTATCAAAGAATGTTAGCATACCCTTGAGAGATAAATAATGATATTCGTACCTCTTCCCGACAACCGTTCATCTCTCTTATTCTGTCTCTCCTACTGGCTGACATGCTCTGTTCTATCTCTGGCTTGTTTTGTTTGTTTCTCTCTGGCTTTGTTCTTCCTGCTGATCTTTCTCCCTGCAACCTATTTGATTCAGTCTGGCGTTCATGATACCTCTCTGGACCTCCCGTCTCTTGTACGCCTTGTTCTAGCACCATTTTATCAGCCAAGCTACAAAAGCAAAATTCAACATACGGGGGCAGAATGGGACTTATCAATCCACACCGTACAGCGAAGAGAATGAGGCCGTTGTTTACGTATCTCTACCCTTCATCTGTGTGATCCTCAGAGCTGCCGGCTGTCTCCGATATGGATTAAACCTCAGACATGATCGCCATTCAGAGCGGCAGACCGGAGAGCAAAAGGACTGGGTTTAATCCCTGTCTGCAGGACTGGCCCTCGGCAAGGTAAAAAAAAGGATGGTTTCTGCTGTTTAGGTCTTGATGAATTGCAAATAAAGGAACAGTGTGCAGCGTACACGGGGATCTATTGGCATAAATGGAATATAATATTAAAAAGCATGTTGTCTTTAGTTTAAAATCACCTGAATATAAGAATAGTTGTGTGTTCGTTAGCTTAGAATGAGCCACTTATATCTACATACGGAGCGTGTCCTTTTCAGGAACACACATTTAGCGAAGACATCGCCACACTCCTGTCCCCGTGCTCGCCATTGAAGGCCGCTGTAGCACAGTTACTGAAAGACGACACAGTGACTGCACCCATCAGAATTTGCAGTGGTCTCCTATTCAGTAACTCGACAAAGCAGAACAGAAGTTACCTTGACGTAACTCCAGTTCAAGTACATGTGTAGCTCACGTCACTCTATACCACACAGTGAGTGAAAGACTGTAAACACGGTCACTGTGGGATTTAATACTGAAGCAAGAGTGATATATTCCATTTATACGAGGAGCTCTGCTGAACATTTCTTTTTTTATTGACTTATGACATGACTTGTGACATGCTTTCATTTTTAGCACGGCTACTGACAATGCTTGGTTCCAATTGGCTGCCAGATGTTCATTAATTTCTGCGCATGTGATGCAGATGTTTGTTTGTTGTTCTAAATGAACCAGGATCAACTATAGTGAGGCTACGTTAAAGAACGTGGATGAAGCCTGATGGAAACAACTTTAAACACACTGAGCCTTTAACAGTGAGGGAATGTATCACAGAGTTCTCTGTCTACCAGCTTTGTTAGAGCTATTCCACAAGTCCTCTCTCCTCACCCTGGTCGATTTGAAAAATCACATTCACTCAAGTATCAAAGGAGTTTGAAAGTGAGCTTGTTGCATTGTTCTCATCAGGCTTTATCCACGTGTTCTTTAGCGTAGCCTCACTTGAGTTGATCCCAGAACAACAAACAAACATCTGCATCCCAGGTGCAGGATTTAAGGAACACCTGGCAGCAGATTGGAATCATGACAGAGAACCAGGTGACACATATCATCACTGGAAAGGCTAAGTGTGTTCAGATTATTGTGAAAGAAATCGGGGGTATTTCTCTTCATGCGTGTGAAATTGGAAAAAAAAAAAAAGAAAAGTTAATTTCAATCAGGTAGGATTTTAAAACTCCCAGCTCAGGCTTGTGATTAATAATAACAAGTATGAACGTACAATTTATCATAGTTGTTATTATCCCTTATTTAAACGTAGAAGTTGTGATGACTGTATGAATTACAAACATAGAACTTTTATTTTTTTCACATGGTGAGTGGGCACATGGTGAGTCCGTTTGCTGCCCACTCTCTGCCTCTACAGCATAAAGCACTTAGTGCTACTTGACTTCTAAAATAAAACAACAGCCAGCAGATCTTTTTTTTTTTTTTACGTGTGTTTGTCATTATTATTTTAGGCCAAAAGCGCTTAACTGCCATATCAACAAGGATGAGTGCAGCTTAACAACGAGCACTTGAATCCAAAGTTGTCCTGAGGATGACTGTGCATTGTGTATACGAGTATTCAAGATGATAAGTGGTGAAATAAGTGTTCAACCAGAGCCAAGCGATGACAGTCAATCACATCACAGCTTACCTGATTGGAGTATCGCATGCTGACGTTGCGCTGGTCCTGGCGGGGAACGTAGCGGTGGATGGGATCGATGTCTTTAGGGCTGATCAGCTCATCCACTACACAAACCCACACACGCACACACACACCAAGATACACACATTAACACGCATACAACACACACGCCCACATAGCCAGGAGGGCAAGCGCAAAAAAAAGGAGAACAAAAAAGACGAAATAATCAATTTTTCATTGTTAACACAAATACTGACACACACGTATGCACACAATGGATGAGACAAACTGCATCCGTGGCTTCATGTCAGTGAAGAATTAAGCAATATTTAAAATCATTAGACAATCGTGGATAACAAAATAGATTATACTACACTTAACATGGTGTAATAAATCTCATCTAATATGACTCGATATGTTAGTTTTGCATTACATTGTAGACAGATATTAGAATGAACATAATCAATGTGTGGGTTCAGAGCATCATGCCGAAGCACACACACAAACACACACGGAGGCGTACCCAGCAGCTTGGCGATGTTGTAAAGGGCCTGACCGCACAGGAAGACCATCCCATCACGGCCAGAGTTGCTAGGGAAACGCTTCTGGCTTCCGTGCTTGTTCTGCTCCGCCTCCACAAAGTCAGCCGGTACGTAGTAGTATTTGGGGATCACAGCATGGCCTGGCATGGGAGAGGAGGACTGTGAGCACTGTGTGTGTGTGTGTGTGTACCTTCTCTGGACACGTGTTACATGTGTGTTTGAGAGAAAAAAACTACACTTCACTCCTGTGATTACGGAAAACCTACTGAAATAAGGCCGCGGTTCAGACGCACACGATACGTAGGAACAATTTCACACAATCCTGCATTGTATGCATGTCATTTTTAAACAAATTTTCTACTGAAGAGGAACATGTCCATGCGCTGTGCACACACATACGAGTCGAACATTATTGTGAGCTCCGTTCAATAGCTGCTTCGATGCCACCAGTCTTCTTATATTTTCCAAAATTCACTCCGAATTTTTTCATTTAAAACTCATACAGGCAATTAAAAAACACTCAGGTATTCATTATTTAACTGAAAACATAAAAAGGAGGACTCATACAGAGGTACAGGAACAGTACGTTTATGTACCAAATGTGCGTTTTCACAGATATGTCATAACAGGTACGTAATGGGCACCAGCTGCTGAACCACTGTAGTGGAACAAAAGTAGTTCCTGATTGCTCGGAGGAAAAGAAAATGCTGCCAATTCAGTCTGAATTTGAAGGTACAGTCATTCGAGTCAGTGGAAGCAGCACACTAATCAAGGGCGCCCAGGTGCTGCAGAAAAAGCATTTGCCCACCGCCGCAGAGACACGGGTTCAACATTCTGGCTAACACGACTGGCAGTGTGGGTGGGAAGCTGGTGAGGGATCATGTCCTAGTAACATTGTCTCCATCTTCTACACCCTGTCCAGAGCACAAATTAAAGGTAGCAGCAATGAGGACTACAGTGAGGGGGGGGGGGGTCTGTTGTTCTTGGGAGAAACAGGGAAGAAAAAAAAAGACTAAGAGTAGAGATTTAACTAATATTTAACACAAAACACAACTGTGGCTGATGGGAATTTAATTAGTCAGATCAATAATTCGACCAAGTATTTGGTCATTGGACAAATTATAATTCGGTCTCGATGGTGGCACTAGAAGCAAAGAGGAATTACAATTCTTCCCATGTAAGGCTGAATAATGAAGTGAAATTGAACGACAATTCAGTCTGATTATCAGGCCACAATTCTGCTCTACAGTTTCTTGAGAGTGTGGGTCAATATAAATATAACCCACTGCAAAGAAAAAATAGTCAAAGGATGGCACAAGGGTTGCAAATGCTGCCCATTCAGCACAGCGGCATGTCTCCCAGAGCTGCACCCTGCATGTGTCTGTGTATCATTAAAACAATGGGAGGCCGTGACTCCCGAGAGGTCCGGCGAACCTGCAGCAGAACACACAATAGCGGCTTCTGACAGCAGTAAATACATTTTGTGGGTTTAGACTTTTTAATGGTGAAAGACAAAAAAAGCACACTTGTGTTATCTGTTCAAATCCAGCCAATTAACTACAGGAGTTTTGTTAATCCATACATAACCAGTACAAAGGCACTGTAGAGATGTCCGGAGCAATATAAGTCAGCTCTGTCTCACATCATTATCCTTTCTGCACTCCAATTATTCCTGTGCTATTATGAACGGACCAATAGGAACTCACAGCTCCTGACATTCCTATCATGTTACTGTCTCCCGACATATCAATGGGTGGAGGTGAATATAAAAGGCTTGCTCTTTCACAGTATGTTACAGTATGTGCGGTATGAATATGGACGATGTGATTTCATTTTAAGAGAAAATTCTTCATTGCAAGAGGGAGAGAGAAAAGGGGCAGAAGCTTCAAAACTAACTACATAGATATGTCAAATCGGTTAAAGTTGTGTGTGTGTGTGTGTGTGTTTGTGCATTCTTAATTTGCCTCTATCCATCGGTCACTGCATTTGTGTGTGTGTGCGTCTATTAATGTCATCGCTCACCCTCATAAGACTGGAAGATGATGGGTTGAAGGAGGTCTTGGTATTCTTTGACCTGAGCGCTATTTCCTCTGAACACCCCTGCAACACACACACACGCACGCACGCACGCACACACACACACACACACACACAGATATTAATGATAACAATTAAAACGTAATGATGAAATTTTTGGTTGCACACATGACAACAACATTTGCATTTACAAAAAATATTAAAAATATTGATTATTACAACTTTAATGTTCAAGCACTGTTGTGTGCTTTACAAGTGAAAACCACCATATCAGACTGAGCAGCAATGACCTTTTAACTCCAGATAATCCACAACAACTATTAAGTGCATCATACAGGTGAATGTAAATGTAAATTATTCTTGTTCGTCTTCTTGTTGTGAAGTCTCGCTTTTTTAAGTTCTGTTTACTTTGTTTTTCTCTTTTAGCTATTTGTATTAGAAAGATTATTTATGGGTTTTTCAGTAGTTAAAAGATATTCCCATAAAGATGAACAGGCCCCAAATCGGATTATTCTTTTGTCCTACAAACGTCAGCGGAGAATAAACCGACAGGAGGGTGATTTAATAATGCTTAAAAGCACATTACTGGGAGAAAATATACTTCATTTCTGACCATTCCCTTAGGTTCACACACAGATTTCACACATCACTTATTTTTAAAAAGTGTTTCTAAGTCCTCTAAAAGCTGGCAAACACCAAAGTGATTTCCTGTCACATCCTTTAAGCCTGTCTTCTATCTTCCCAATGACCCACTTGAGGCATCATAACAGCGGCTATGGATAGAACAAGGCTTACCGTCAATCATCATGTAGATGAAAAATATGGGAAACTCGCACTCGATCCCATCAAAAAGCTGGAAAGAGACAGAGAGAAAGGATATTATTGCTTTTCCATCTCAGAAAAAGGGGAGAGGCACAGCGACTTTAAAGCAGCGGATGGCTGAACTTTAGTAGTGCTGAGTACGGAACAGAAGGGCACAGGGAAAATATATAGGAGACGTGACATTGCGAATGACAACTCACAGAACACACAGAGGAATAACATTGCTTCCTTGCAAGGTCATTATCTTTCAAGTTGTGCTGTTTGTTTTGAGGGGATCATTTGAAGGTCTGAGAAGTCAGAAATTTACTGTGACAAATAAACAAAGAACACTGAGAGAAGAGCTGGATCTGGAAGTTTATCGGTAACAGGTTTTATTCGTCAAGACTGCAACTGGTCCTTCTATAACAAAAAATAATAATACTGAAACAGAAGAAAAAAGTAGTGATTCTGTACTTAGAAAGTCATGAGGCGTTAGTAGTTAACTGCTTCAATGCACAGAGTAGGACACCAGTGACTTAGTACAGTAACAATCTCTCCATAAATTCACAGTAAAGATAAATATTTTGTTATTTCCTGGTGAGCTTTGTGGGAAGATAAATAAACACATAAGAAGCAGAGGAGCGCCTTCAAGTGACTTCTTGCTTACACCTCTCGTTTGTTCGCAATTACTCAGTGTGAACATGAACCGGACGGACCACAACGAGAACTAAAACAAGTGTGTTTTGTCCTTGTTCTGAACAAAATCATCCGACCTACAGGTGTGAGGGTAAGATATTCTTACAAAAAAGATCATTTGGTTTTTTGAAAATTTCCCCAAACCTCCAAATGAGCATTCAGTTGGGTTGAGCTGACTGTGAAGGCCTGAGCCTCATTTTGATACTCATCAAACCATTCACTGACCCATGTGTGAAGGCATGTGTATTTGTTATGTCTCTCCACTAATTTATTCAGGTTTTTAAGTCAATTGAACCTCTCCCTCATAAACACTTTGCAAGTCACGACTGACCGATTGACTGACTGATCGATACGAGTGAGTGTCTGCGTGACCGGGCAACCGTCTGGTTGTTTCCAGTCGACAGAACACAGAGAAATAAAAAGCAGCGTGCGGCAGCAGCAGCTGGGGTGAATTTTCCGGAACAAACCCTTAAATTGACACGAACGCCATCATTTGTCGGATTATTCTCGGAGTCTTACTCAGCCAGAAATCCTATTGCATCACGTGTGTGTGTGTGTAGTCTCACACATTTACACAAACATCATCTGGTTACAAGTCACATGTAGCTGAGACATTTAAGTGCATCACGGCCTTATTAGTTCCAATAATTCAATCCCATCTTGTTCACGCTCGCCTGAGGAGGATCAACACAAACACAAAGTAGAAACAACGTGATCTCATGCGAAGGCGTATGAAACCACACGCCACATTTGAGGGATTCCACTTACCATGATACACAAGTTTTTCACGTGTCATTTCATGGCACGGGGCTATACTTGTGAAACAGCTTTTTCACGTGACATTCATCTATTGGCAGAAATGGAATATGATTTTTAAAATGTATTTTCTGTCTCGTATAATCACCTCAGAATAAGAATTGTGTTTTCGTTAGCTTAGAATGAGCCGTCGACACGCTTGGCACACAGGAGAAGTTACAGTTGGTTGCAATCTGCGATCTTACCGCTAGATGCCGCCAAATCCCGCACTCTGCACATTTAACGCCAAGTCGTTACTGTGAAACGGTCGCGGTTATATATAGGCAACAAAACTAGGTTAACGGCTGTAGTTAGGGTTAGGCAACAAAGATACTTAGTTAGGAAACACATCATAGTTGGGCTTGAAATACTTACATGAACTAAGTAAAATGTGAACGTGAACAGCATAAATGTAAGCAAACAATAAGTATGGAAAACTATAAATGCCAATACTCCTGACTATCTTTGTCCCTCATCTTTTTCAAATCCCACCACACTGATGGAGGATAAAAGAGATAGCATCCTTTTGCGAAGGGTGCATTTTGAGGGGGGGGGGGGGGGGAGCCAAGGCAGTCACCCAGTGAGGCCTGTGCCTTTTGGCCCGTTGAGGCTGTAAACAGGCAGGGATCCCTGGTGTATTGTGCTTGAGCAGCTCGACTGATTGGTAAAACTGTCTATCACACAGCCTGCTGCTCTCTGTCAATGGTAAACAGACAGGGAGCACAGACGTCTGCCCTGCTGTGAATTCTCTCTGAAACACCAACAACAACGTCTTCCCTGTCTTCTGCAGGGAGACCTACCTGTGTCAGATGCTCGCTCGGCATTTCATTACACTGTGTGTTTATGCTCATCATTCAAAGGAGGCCGCATTTTGCTTCTTTTTTTTGTCATGTACCGTCATGTTTCTATTGTTGTTCCACCTCTAAAACTGGCATCATTTCTCACATTCAAGAAATCAGGGGTTTGTTTCAATATTTGTCACTGGAAAAATGGTAATCTTGTGGTAACATTTACTGCATTGTGTAATTTTACCATCTTTATTATTAATATTTGCACCATTTGCTGATGTGGCAGCAAACAAATTACTGCGAACGGCAGCAGGAGCGATCGGGAGTTCAAGCTATGAAACTTAACTGGCACTGTCTTCCACAATAAATATGCCTGTCTGCTGGAAGAACTGAGGGCAGGAAGGAGCCTGTTTTGCTAATTCTCAGCCAGGCGTTAAACTCTGGTTCTGAAACTAAACTTGCATTCTTTGTAACGGACAGCACGGGGGACGACTCCTCAAAAATTATTCTGATTGTATAGAAGTCTATAAGAGAATGACCCTAGTTCTCACTTCATTTATTACCTCAGTAAACATTGTAAACATGAGTTCATGGTCTTCTTCAATACAGCACGATGTTCATTTCGTAAATTATGGTCCATTTAGAGTAAAATAGAAGATATAGCAGCGTATGCTTTTGTGATTGAAAGGTCGCTACCATGGAATTGTCTGTGTTTTTGTCTTACAACTTGAACCCTTTCACAGTGTGTTTTCAGGTCATGAAAGGTAACACGGGGTGAGAGCTTGATTTAAGAATGGCCATGCTGTGGGTGAAGAAAGCGAGTTTCAAAGTATTCTAAATGGTTAAGAGTTGGTGGAAGCACTTCCACTGTCTTTGTCTTGTTTTTCTGTTTTTAGCACGAAGGATCCACCTTTCTGCAAATAAAAGAACAGCCAAAAGCAATCTAATTTTCTAAAAGGGATATTGTTTTAAACATTTTATAGAGCGACATAGCAGCCGTGAGAGCCACGCGCAGAAATCTGTTGTGTCCTGCAGAAGTGCAGTACATTAAATAACAGGTCAAGGCCTTCAGATCACAGCTGAACTGTATTTTACGTGTAAAGCTACTTGAAAAACAAATACATATTTCCAGCAATGTCCTTTGTAAATTATTTACCAGTATGTTCTTTGTCAAGGAAACATGTTACCTTGCCAACATGTCCAGGGTGCATTCACACTCAACACTTAAAGCTATCCACTTGTGATCAGATCACCCAAGATGTATGTTAATACCAGCTCTGAACAGGCTTCAGTGTCAGGTACCCACCACTGAGTAGAAGTGATGAAAGCTCTTGAATGAAAGGTGAAACATCTTCTCGCCCAAACAGAAACTCTCCCCCACCACCTCCCTGAGCTCATTCATTCTGAGAGGTTAGTTCTGCAGCTAGTGCAAGGATTTGTTTAGCATTAAGAGCCCCGCTTCTGATTCACTCATTGTACACTGAGCTGAATGTGCTGCCATTTCGACGGGATCACGGGGGATTCAGAAAATGACAATGAACTCACTATCGTTCAAATATATATATATATATATATATATGTATGCATGAGCACACCCACTGTCAGACTCACTAACACGCACAAACACACGAAGATTGGGGGTGAAATACCTGGAGGATTAAAACACTTGAAATGGGTGAGGCTAAGTCACAGACAGATTTCTGAGCATTATCATACAAGGATAATACCTTTACAGGCTTAAACACTTCAGAAACTTTTCAAATGTCACACTCCAGCACTTTCAAGTTGAATGTTTTCAGGTTTTATGCATTGCCAGCCATTAGCACTCTGTCTTTTCCTCTGCATAACAAGTGGTTGCCTGAAATAACCTCTAGGTACATTTTTAAACATTATATTGTTCTGTAACTCTTCATCTGATTGGGAAAACTTGGTATCTCAGTATGCATGCAGTGCTGTAAGTCTCCACGACCTTAAGTCCAACTTTTGTCACAGTGGACAACAATATTTCAAATCTATCTGTGAAGTTGGTTGTGGAGCAGCTCATTCTCTGCAATTGAACGACAGACGGCTTCCTTTCTTCTCTAGCGGGGTTCCCCAGGGCTATATCCTGGATCCTTCACTGTTTTTTATCTACCAATCTCTTTGAGACATATTCTCCACAGATGTAAGATTTATTTCAACTGCTATGCTAATAACAGTCAGCTGTACGTCTTGCTAGAACTTGGGAGAATGAGTAACATTTTGTGTTTGTGTCTGTCTGATATGATAAAATGTAAGATTTGCTTGTCAACAATCCAGGTCTGGCAGGCCTATTGTCTCAAATTTAAATTTGGAAGAATTTGCTAGGACAAGATAAGACAAATCTGTGAAATATAGCACAGATAAATAGAAAGAAAAACAATAATATGCTTTTAGGTTTCCCACCAGCACCAACCTTCATTTCAGCAGGTTTGTAGAAGCGGCGATCCTTGTCTTCGTTAGCGGTGCGGTAGCCATCACGGAGGAAGCGTTTGAAGCCGTACTTGCCCCGCAGCTTGCGGACAATCTTGTCCAGTGTCTGACTGTAGAGGGCATCGTCATCTACTGCAAAGGCAGGATAGCTGATGGTTGGAAGCAAGGCTGCATCTGTGTTCTGCCCGGGAGAGAAGATTTAACACAAACACCTGAAATGAAACACTGTTCCACAATGTTTTTTTATTATTTTTAATTTCAGCGAGAGTTACTTCAAGACAAACGTTTTTATACGATAAATTTATATGACCATAACAATTGTATTCACCGGTGTCATAATATCTCTCGGAAATAATGAGGAATTAGAATTAAATCCTATCAGCTTATACCATTTAGCACATACATCTTTGTGTTCTTAAGGGTTATATACTGTGTATGCCTTTAACAGAGAGAATTCTTCTGGTTATGAACAAAACTCTACAGCAGCCTTATTTTCTATCAAGGACTGTCTGAATTACAGCAATCGTTAGGGATGAATATTGTTGTTAGGCTTGACAAACCATGATGACTGGGTATCTAATTCTTGTATTTGGTTTCCTCTATTAAGCAGTAAAAATGAAAGCTATTAGGGCCCATCCTCGCATGCAAACAGCTATGAATATTTAAGGTTTATTAATAGACGGCAGATCTTTCGGAAATAAAAGACTTGCTTTCCATATTCTGTGTGAACTCAACCAGCTACGAGACTAGATTTCGGTGCAAAAAATAGTCGACTGTTTGATGCTTCTGTTACGTTTTGCATTGTAATTTTTTTTTTTTACTTCTACACATCTCTCCGACTTCTTGTTACAACTCCAACTTACATGTTAACATCCTCGGCAGCTGCAGCTGAAATGGGGTATCAGCTTGCAGAACGCATTCAGTGCAGGTATTGAATTTAATATTGAATTCCAATCCCTTGCCATAGTGTACGCGATACTCATATGATATTTATAATTTGGTTAGCTTAACATAATCCTGTCCGTCTCTCGCTCCCTACTGCACTCCGTCCTTCCAGCTCCTTAACTGTTTATCTGATGCAGCTGTAATGCCCCTCTCGTCGTCTAATTACACTCATTTCCTCGCAAGCTGGCTGCGAGCTATTCTGCCCGACACGTTCAGCACACACAAAAAGAGATGTGATCATGTAAGTGTCTGCAAGCGGTGGAGTGTAGAGAAGGGAATGGCTTTGCTCTTCCTTTTTCTCAACGTACCACTTATTATTTTCTTACCCACCCCCCTGCTTGCTTTTACAACTTTACCTCCCTCCAGCTCTGCAGCCACCTGTCGCTTTCCCAATTTCTTATCAAGGTTGAACCATCAATAGCACAGTTACAGCCAGCGTAATGACTGCACCACAAGGGACATTTTGAATTACAGACATCTACTCACATACCGACGAGAGTATCGTTTGGTTTTAGTAGTTGCATAGATGGACTCACATGTGAGCGAGACTCTCGGGGCAGTAAGGAGGACAGGGTCTGCCTGTTCCTGTTGTGGGCGTCCAGATCCACAAATATCACCGACCACGAGCAGCCCTGCGGAGCAAAACACATCGGCAGAGAGCATCACGGTCACGACTGAACTATCTACTCATAACAGGTACACCAACAGCACACACAAAAATGCAGAAGGGTGGGTAACAAGTCCTCCGTCATTTACCCCCCCCGAGAAAAAGGGCTGAAATTACTTAAGGCCCCTTCAATCACACCTCCGCACATAAAAACACACTATTTTGCTGTAAAACCAGGCGGATATATTTGGGTTGCTCATGTTTTTGAAGTACAGTGTGGGAGTGCTTGAACAACAGTGAGTCAAGAGTCACCCAATCACTTCAAAAGTCCCCACGTACAAAACAGAAGTGCTGCTACTCCAATGCAGTCTGTCCATCCAGTGCACTTAAACACCCCTGGGCGAGAGAGGAGGGGCAGTTTTTATGTTTTTACTTCGTAAGGGAAGTGATCAAACCTCTCTGGCTCTAAAAAAAAAAAAAAAAGCCGGTCCAGTCCACTTCATCCATCCACCAGCAGCGCTTACATAAAACCTACTGAGCCACTCCTGCAACCTGCTAAGCAGTTTCTAATGTAAGTCGAATGCATTATGTATGAATATTGCCAGAGTCTACTTTTCTTTCCTCTAAAAAAACAGATCCAGCCAAAGCTTTTAGTCAAATCAGCAAGCTTTCCTGTCGAAATTTGCATAGTGCAGTGGATTGCTGGCCACCGCTGTAGGCAGCTGTGTGACAAGTTCAGGGAAATGGCCCTCTCAGGGAAAACTTCTCTGGTGTTATAGCAGCAGAGTGTAAGAAAGCCGAGCATGTAAGATGAGGGATTTTGCCTTGGATGTGTGCCCTTTTGACAGGGGTTGTCTTTTGGTGGGCTAACATTTTCTTTTTAATAAATAAAACTGAGCCGTCCAAGCTGTATTGTAAAATGCAATGGATTTGTTTTGGTTTGTTTGCTTTTCTTTAGTTGCTTTGGGCCCGACAACAAACATAAAAAAAAACTGTTTTTATATTATGAGCCTAAAAAATAACTTAAATATGTATATGGAAAATAAATAGTTAAAAATACATATTATATAATGGTCATTTATAAATATCAGGTTTTTCTACAGACCATTGCTGACTTGTAATCACATGGAAAGTGAGTATTTCTTCAATCTGGACACTTACCCCTAAACCCCCAGTGACTGGATAAAAGAGGTCAATGTCCACAGCTGTGTCCTTTTTGAATCATTATTACCAGCATCACTGCCTCAGTGGACTTACCCTATTACAGTTTATTTTATCGAAAGAAAATAAATCAAAAACAAAATATCCTATTAATCAAATATACCATGGAATGAGATGAAATATGTCACACAGTTTAAAATGTTATGAAAACTTTCTATTTTTTATATGTTTTCATTGTTTAACTTTTTTCCCCTCCAATATCCCACAATACAACTTACCTATTCCAAATTCCCTCTATCATGAAAATGTATAGTGACCGTATCATACGAGTTGATTAAAGGCCACCATAATCTATGCAAGAAAACCTTCAATGTCCCTGCTATTACTACGGGTTGCTAATAAACGTTGACAGGATGTAGATTGTATAAAACCCCTTTAATCAAAAGACCATAATGTACATCCACCTGACATGGCTTTCTGAGCATTGATGTGCGTGATTAAATTCAAAGATTTAAGTCAGCACAGAAAAGTAACCTCTCTTCCACACCGCGAGCACAGAGAACCCCCCCCCCCCCTAAAAAAGAAACGATTGCTGGATTGATTTAGGTGTGTGTCCGCTTCCACCACATCCATAGCTTGACTGGGTGTGAATTGGGTGACAATCCCGAGATAGAAAGTGGAAGTTGTTAGGATTTGATTGTCCAGCCGTGTGTACACAGCTCTGTGGATTTAATGACTGGCTTTAGAGTGGAAGGATCCTCCTCTTGGCAACATAAATTTTATCTGCAGAGTTAAATTTCTCAGACCGAGAAGCTGCTATCCATTTGTGTGACTCGGAGGGATCGTGAAAAAAAAATAGAAAATAAAAAATCTAAAGTTGAACTAACTGAGGACATTGTGTCTCCATTCATCTAGTACAAAGGCTAAATGTGGCACACACCCACAAGAGTCTGCAGCCGGTGTAAAATGTGGTAGCGGAGTCCAGACCGTACTGGATGTTCCGGTTAAAGAGGTTGGGGGAGTTACATCTGGCGTTGGACGGATGAGAGCCAGCTGGGAAATCAAGATTGATAGAGATCGTTAATAATCAACTGGCCGGCTTGTAGCACTTCCATTCCCATAGCGGGACGAGAGACTGGATGAGACACTTGCACCCACACTTACAGAGGCACCACGCAGCATGGGTCATACATCAGCTACCTCTATGAATTGATTTTTTTTCATCAGGCTGAGCTTGATGACAAAATCCATTTCCAGGCACAGTTAACCCCCGTCATTTTGTAGCTGATCGGAGGAGAAAAACGAACAGAGACTTCAATATACACTCATCCCGACAGCCTCATGCGTTGATCAGAAAAATACTCATTTGCAGTAGATTGCCGGAGAAGCCGTCACTGGCTAAAACCCAAGTGGAGAACAGAAGAAGAGGATAGGCTTGCTACAGTAAGTGCAGGGCTTCCTTTTCCAATCTATTAGCAGATGTAATGAATGTCCCTGCTTTCTTTTCCACCACACAGGCAAGAAATAAAAGAGACATATTCACTAATGGACACTGTGAGGGAGATTCGGAGAGAAACCAGGAACAAACATGTGGCCATTGATCAAAGTCTGCTGAGCCACACACAAACATATTAGATGAATCTCCTGATGGTGAAACGTCCACTTAGTCCGGCATCGATGACAGCAGCATTAATCAAGCCGATGTACTTTTAACAGCCGTTGCTTCGGCTACGCAGGCTGCAAACAACGAGCATATCAACGAGCTTTGATGGGCCTCTGCAGATCTGATTTGGAGAATACGCTGTCCATCTATAATGCCATCTTGTGCCATGTGACACGATAAGCCAAGACTCAGACACACGAGTCTCTTGGGACTCGCATGAGGAGGAGGAAATTATTCAAATACCTGGTTTCCAAACAGGTTGAATCCATTGATGGCCTCCAGAGCAGCTTTAGCCAAGCCCACAGAGCTGCAAAGACAAGAAAGACGGAGAATCACATGACACATCATAAGCTAATTTCACTGACATTGATGCACCATAGGGCAGATGTGAAAGAATACAGTATGGCCCAAACTCTTGTATCCTGAGAAAAGTCATTTCATATCTCGACAACCATATATATCACGATATAGCACGCTTTCTGGTAATTCAATAAATATATGGTCTATATGAAATAACCATGAAATGGTTTTGTATACCCCGGTGTGAATTTAGTACTTGACAAATAAAAAGAGTAAAAAAAAAAAAGAGTATTTTCCCATTCAATTTAGAACTTGAGTGCAAAAACGAACATAACCATTTCAACTGAAGTTATAGAGAAAAAATGATTTAAGACAATAGTTTGATTTAACTACACTATGGGTATTCCCATAAGCAGACTTCTGTTAAATTCATAGACATTTGTTTCTTATGATCCATTTTGACGACATAATTGCGTCTCATGACATATCCATATGATTCCACTGAAAGATGATAAATTATCATACCGAATTAATCGCCCAGCCCTAAAACAATATTTCACTTTTTTTCATTTTTGCATAAAAGTCACAAAAATTCATTCAGAATCGCACTTGAATCTTAAACTGCTGTCTGTTAGGACTCAATAGAGCTTGAGGGTCCTGAGATTATGGTCCACTGTAGATAATGGATCTCTTTAATATAAACCTTGTCCTGTATTTCACACTGGCTGGCTGCTGTGATTGCAATGCAGACCCAGCATGAATCAATTTCACTGTCGTTCCGTTTCCCTTTCTGCCCGGCCAAGATTTCCCTAGAAAAGAAGAGGAGGACAAAAATTGCAACAGGAACTTGGCGATGACTGGCGGTAGCTCTGCTGACATGACAAAACGGGCTCAATACCATTAGTGAGGCCTGAATGGATAATACAGAGGATGGCTGGCTAATTCAGCCTGGAACAGAGCTCTGCTGAGACTAGTAATACGGCCAGTTCTGGTCGGGAAGGCTCTCAGCGGCAACTCGCACAGAGGCAGAGGAGACATGACGCTTTCAGTGGGGAAACGGGAGGTTAAAAAAGGGATAGCAGGAAACAGGCCCAAAGAAGCAACATGATGCAACAGTTTCAGTTGACAGTTGGAGATAACGATTTTGCACAGCAGCTCATAGCTCAGTTGAGGTCGTAAGGGGTTAATTGCTTCATATGTGAGTCAGTGGACGGCCACTCACATCAATATAAGGCCGCCTTATCTTAAAGTTTCACACTTTGGTCAAGTGATGACAACTGACTGATCTTCACGACAACTGAGCGAACTCCAGCGAATAACGAGCGCCAGAAAAAAAGCTGGTAAAAAGATTTTCATTTTGAAGTTTTTTTTGGTGTCAGTTTGTAAACTGATGTTTTAATGTAGTTTTGCTGCTGTTAAATGCCGCCCCCATTTACTTCAATGTAATAAAACTTTTCTCAGTTCACCGTGAAGGCATGTGAGAAAAGTTTTCTTCTAGAATTCAAGGTAACGCAGGGTGTTTAGTTTATAAAACAAATGGAAATTTTGTGGATGAATTCCTTTAAGGCCTTAAGACTAGATTCTGACACAGTGCACCTCTAAAAGACAAGACAATTTCTAATGTATAAACAGTTTAACTGAATCTGTGCTTTAGTTGTCAACATCGTTTAGTCATAATTTAGTAATCAAATGACTAAAAGCCAAATTAACCAAATTAACCAAATACACCTTGGAGTCCCTGGAGTTCCAGGGTCCTCAGCCAGTTCCCCGGTGGATAAACCACTATTAACTGGCTATGAAATACAAGCACCTATACCATACTAATATATTAATAACATACAGTACAGCAGCATTCACACGATTCATGTATATAAATGTAAAATCTCACTATCATGAGTGATAGATGTTCATGAGAATAATCCCATTTCAAGAAAACCAGCTTCTTACATTATTAGACATGCCACTCTAAATAAAACACTCCGGTCGAGCCATTTGACTGGGTGTGAGGATAAACACGAGGCAGAGGCAATCATTTGATTTGATATGGACAAATGAACACATCCTTTCCTGTTCATTTCCACTGAGCCTCTTCTCCTGCCCACTGGCACTCCGGGATGAGAGGTGACTGCTCAATTTGATCGTTTACACAGATCTTGTTTACACAGAACTATTTTGAATCTGCCCCCGCCCCAGTTCACGCATACGACACGTTAATTGGCATTGTGGCAAACGGCATGTATTAGCCGGCTCACTAATTGTGGAAATCCAAAGCATGACCTCGAGGGGAGGAAGCAGAAGAAGCACGAGACACAGGGCTCCTTCACTACATGGAGTGTGTTATCTTTTCTTGAAGATATCTTGGCAAGCTGCTGCCAGTAGCCTTGGATTGTTGGAGGAAGAAAAATAAAAACAGGCTCTTCAAGAGATAAGATGGCAGAAATTGAGGATCTTTATCAAGACACTGCGGGAGGAGAGGGAGGCGAGTTCCATGATAAATCAGCTAGGTGCACGGAAGGAAAACTCTCTGATACCTGAGTCGGACAGTGCTGGTGTTCAAACACGTGGTCCAAAGTCCTTATCTTCATAGCAGTTAATAGTTCAGTCGGTCCATTACGTTCTTCCTCAATAAAGATTGTTTAGCGCTCTGATTTATGTTGTGTCACTGTCAAAGTATGTTCATTTTACATTTCATTTGGAAATATGCTTTAAAACTGACACGCTGACCCCAAACACACCGTATCAGATGACGTAGGCGTATCTCCCCTTTTTTTAAGGAAGCCATATTTCCCATAATTCATGCTGCCTCCCGTTGTAAAGAGGCTGTTTTTACTTCTCCTACCTGTTGGACTATTCGTTTGGAGGGCCAGGAAGAAGTATAAAAAGTAACATTACATTTTAGTGTGCAAACATTAATATATAATTTCTTCTTTTTAAGTTGTAAGTTCACATTTATTTATTTAACCTTTATTCAACCAGCACGGTGTTGCCAGACTGAGGTTTCCTTTACGAAAGTAATGGCAGAACCGACAGCAGGACAGACAATAACCTCCGGTGAAGATGTGGCTTACTGTGGTTCCGCCACTGACCAGTCTGGCATTGCATCGTGAAATTGCCATTCGGCATGGCCACGCCCCCTTTTGGGGGAAAGAATGGCGCCGTTACATAAGGAGAGAAACAGGGAAAGTGCAGAGAAGCTGCTGTGTAGCGGGTTGACCCGAGGCTTTAACATTGAGATTTAATTGAGGCACATAAGATACGTTTCAAATTAAAACGGCAAACGGCTAAACGATGCTGGTGACAGTTGCTACGGGTGGATGGCTAATTTGAGTGGGAGGCTGCTGCAGTACGGTCAAGTCACGTCCAACTAAATCTCGGCCGATAGATCAAACAGTTGGCCCTTTAACAGGCTGATTATTTACAGACTATATCTTTAATGGTTTACGTTTGCTCTGTGCTTGCTCAATGTCCAAACAAGTCACTGTTTGTTAACTTTATAGGGTGATAATATGTCAATGCTACAACAGCTTGGTGCACTTCCCTAAATTGGCCAAAATAATCTATTTGTGCTGTGGTTAAGTTGCAGATTTCCACCTTAACTGTAATAGTGTGTGTTAAAGTCTTCTTCCTGACTTTCTGTAGACGTGGCAACATCGCTTGTTTTGTAGAATGAAACGTATCTCTGCTGCAACTTGGATTGACAAGATGACAAGTGTTTTGTTTCTCTTGATTATTGCTCACGATCTAGAAACGGTCTACAATGACTCCTTCAGGAATTTATTTCACAGATTAAATTGAAAGAAGTCCGCTTTAATAAAGACATAAAATATATAAAATAACAATAATATCCTCCAGTAAAATGAAGACCAATGAAAAGCTGATAAAAGGTTGTTTGTTGTTCAACAAATATTTTAGTCATATATCCTTGTTTTTAAAGCAAGCATTCAAAATTCAAATGACATGTACTTCAAAGCACATTTCTTCTCTGCTGATAATGTCAATAGTTATAAAAACATGAACATGTAATGGTAGCTATATGCTCTGGTTTTGCAAATGCTTCATTCGACTAGAAATACAATTGAAACAAACAAAAGAGCGATCACTCTTCCCAGCCCTCTGCTGTGTCCCGTGTGGCCTCTAAACACAAGCCTGCTGGAAACGTCCGACATGGCTAAAAACAGTGGAACGGACAAATATCTCATCAATCATATCAGCTGTAAGGCCAGAGGATCACGCCACTATCACTGCTCGCATCATTGCGCTTTCATACGTGTATAACCTCCTCTGTTTCTCCCCAATTCTGTTCATCCCTTCACCTTTTATCTCACACCGTTCCTTTCTTCCTTCCTTTACATCCCTCTTCCTGTGCTCCCTCCATCCTAGCTGAAGGCACTATTATATCATTACACCACAGGCAATGCGCAGATATTCCGGCAGTTAGTAGTCCCCCGCTCTCTTGTTGCTGACTGTTTACGTCGGTCAATTTTTGTGGAAAGTTTCAACCGTGAACACACACCCACCCACTCTGCACTGGCATGAGCAACGGAATTCAACAAAAAGCTAAAATGCAAACTGTGGAATTTACAGCATCACAGTGACTCGGTACACAATGAAATCTATATTGGGAATCCATTTTTGCCACAGGGTACTTCTCAGAGGCACTGGGGAGAAAATAAAACCGTGGGTCAGTCCCACTCCTTGTGGTTTTTCTTTTGACGTCGGTATACATTGATTGACGTTCAACTACGCCGACACAGCTGGCGGCAGCGATACGGAGAACAGCGGTAAAGTGCTGTAAAAATCAGAATAGTGTCAGACTGGATGTCAGCATTTACCCGAGTCCCTTGGTAACAACCTGTAAATGCTCACAGTCGAACACTACCAAGTGCTTTTATTCATGCATGTTCTTTGTGTGTTGCTCAGCTTGCGACTGACCTGGAATGCAGCTCAGTGCTGCCGTTGTTGTATTTGCTGCCTCTCTCCCACATGCCGTAGTCAGGCACCCTGTAGGCTCTTTCCACACAGAACACCAGGTTCTGGATGAAGGAGACCTGCACACAAAAAAAACACATCAAACACAGGAAGCAATACAGACACCTGCATGCGGTATCACACACACACACACACACACACACACACACACACACACACACACACACACACACACACACACACACACACACACACACGTGCACTCACAGATCCAGGGCTGCAGACAGTAGACACGTTTCCATATTGAGACACGCGATAATTTCAGCTGCAGCTACACACGCACTCACATCCTTACTCTCACTTACATAGTAATGAGCGACCTCTGGTATTGATCTGGAGCGAGGTGTGGAACTCTCCCGCTCATTATGGGGGTTAGAAAAGTGGTGAAGAAAGCTGATTCCTCATCAACGATCAAGGTCACACTGTCCCTGCAGCTAACGGACGAGGTGTAAGTGAGGCAGCGTGTGAGGTCACAGCTTCGCCGGCTTGTCATGACGCGACACCGAATGGACACAAGTTTGATTATCAGCGCATCACTCTTTTATTACAGGCTCTAAAAACTCATCGGCAGCATCCTTGATTGAATCACAAAACACAAAACGGTGGCCCAGTGGTTTTAAAGTCCCCAATTAGGAGCACCTGGCTGTGGAGAAGGACCTGGTGTCCATGAGAGACATGTCGAAATCAATGTACATGTCTAGAAATAAACTAAAAGGGAGAGGCATACAATGTGTGATGACTTAAAGGCCTTGAATCATTAAAAAGAGTGCGTGCGTGCTTGACTGATGGGAGATGTAATCTCAAATGACAAAGTTGGGGGGGGGGGGGGGGGGGGGAGAGAGAGAGAGAGAGAGAGAGAGAGAGAGCAGCAGATACAACCTGTGTGGGACTTAACTAGGCCAGTCTGTGAAGGAGGGCAGGGAACGGGGGAGTGAAGCAGACGAGGCAGGGAAAGAGAGAAAGGTTCGCTGTGTCTCTTTTTTTCAGGGCTTTTGTGAGTGGAGTGATTAACGAGGGGAACTTTTTAGTATCTTGATGGTATCTTAATGAATGTTACTGCCCACCGGCCAAACAAGACTCTCCGTCTCCCTGCCGCCAGACGACAGTCCCTGCCAGTTACGCCTTATTTTATTTTTGGTGGTGGTGGTTTGGGCACAGGGGAACTATTGCAAAAGAATACTACATGTGCTGCTGCTTCTGCCAGCAGCACTCACACAGTGGGGAAAAGAAATATGCATACACCTGTATTATGTGGGGGGAACAAAATACAGGCTGTGATACACACTAGGCTAATGAGATGCTCCATTTCATGCTGCATGAGACTGAAAATGGCATCCGGAAGGAGGTCGATATTGCATCTTCTCACGCAGCAGCCTTTTCTATACCACCTACGTCAAGGAAAAAAAAATAAAAAATACTGCAATGCAGCTTCCAGCTCAGTCAAGTAAACGCCAATGGACTTCACAAGTTGTGACAGCTGACAGCAAACTAATAAACGATGCCGTAACAGTGTGATTCGTCCAAATGGAACACTTTTCCAAAAGCGTTGGGTGAGAACACAAGGCCCTTTTGCTCACTAGATCGGATGTTAGTTAATAATAGAAGGATGGCGGGGGGGGGGGGGGAAACGCCTCAATTTGAATTATGCAATCTAATAAGCAGTGTTTAAACATGCAAATTAAGAGACAGGACTGCCCTCGTAATAAAAGTAGCATTGTCAATTTGTTTGCCATCAGAAGCGAGACATGGAGGAAAAATGAGAGGTTTTTAGGGAGGGTTTTTCTGTAAACAAAGTGAAGACTGCACGCACTAATTGGTTAGTGGCAAAATGTTTTACTAAGTCTTTACTTTCTTAAGATAAGCCCAATCTAGTAAACAAACAGAGTTCTTTACCAGCGGCTCAAATGTCCCCGCTCCGTGGCGGTAAGTAAAGCTGTGAATGAGCAGACTATAAAAACTAACAGAATTAATGAAGTTCCAACTGCTCCTCGGGGCCGCACAATAAACAGCACAGTGTGTAAACTTAACGACCAAGTTGCCCTGTTGTTTTGTTAAGAGACAAACATGAAGAAGACAAAAACTGACACCGGACAGATAGATCAAACTCTGGGGAAAAGCATCCAAAGCCTTTCGGTAATAGCCTGGGTTGGTGCGCTGCCAAATAGGACGTTACCGGTTCGATACCCAGGAGGACGTTTAAGCCTCCACAATGAAATCATCTAAATGTTTCCCTGTTGAAAGTCAATTGAGCGGCTCAGCAAAAAACATAAATGTGAGCGGGGCTATAAAAGTGAGATACTGTCCCCTGATCCTGCATTTGTGTCGGCTCCAGGATATCTGCAGGGGATTGAGGGTACATCTAACTGCCTTCAGAAATCCCTTGCTCTTACTTTAAAGAATCTGGTCGGACTTTCAGGAGGAAGCATCGCACAATTTAAGACTCATGAATCCCATTAGGTCCCACAATTTGTTTTCGAATACATTTTAGTGTGGTGCAATTTTCCCAATAGGAATTTTCACGAGCAAGCGCACACACACTCATGAAGTGCAAAAAAATGGTTCTCGTAAATGTCAGAATGCAGTTTAGAGACGCTTCAAAATATGTTGATTATAAGGATGATGTATATTTATTTTGGATCGATAGATATTTGCTGTCGAGTCATGTACAGAGGAAGAAGACTATAGGTCTGCTGATATGCTAGCAGCTCTGTGTCGCTGCACTTAATACTGGCCATCGGTGTATTGATGTTTAGTAGTAATGTTTACCCCTTTCATCTTCTTAATGCTAACATTTGCACAGTACAGCTGATGATAATGGGAATGTCATTAATGAATGTTTTGCAGAGCGGTCATAAACCAAAGTATTGGACGAATGAATGGCAGATCACCAAAGCGAGTCATCCTATTGGGACCACGATTGTCTTCATGACAATCCACAAAATAGTTGTTGAGATATTTCAGTCAAGATCAAAGTGGTGGACCGAGCGAGAGACAGACATTGCCGTTCCTAGAGCACACAGTAGCATGGACTAAAAGTTTATGTTGTTTATGTTTAAGTCTCATTTGAAAAATCTCTCATGTATAAATAAAAAATTCAAATATTGACCGCAGCATTCTGTTCAATGTGTAATTATCGTTGGAAGAAGAGACGTAAACTGTTTGGGACTCAAGCCGGACACTGATTGCTGCTCGTAGATGAGCCAAAGAATATCAAACCAATAGCCAGCACTGGGCGTAAATCCCCGGTGTCCAGCATCGGCAGTCATTTTAGCGCCTTGTTTACCTCATCGGTGTTGTAAATGATTTGCAGACCGGAGCAGATCATCTCCGCCAGGTACAGCAGAAACAGGGAAACGGCATCGATCTGCAGCAATGACAGAGGGAAGGACAGAGTGGATAAGATACCATTAAAAAAAACAAAAAAACATCACTGTCATTTGTACAGGATCCGTCAATACGGGTGTCTTTGATTTCCGACACAGTGTAGAGACTGAGGCGTGAGCTTTATATTAGCTATTAGGCTTTTGGCATTGGCTTGGTATCATCAATCACGCAATTTACTTCAGTTTGCAAAGTTGTCGGAGAATAAATCACAGCCAAGGCTTAATAAATGTGTATACAGTAAGTGTTTAACAAATACACAGCTCTGATGATTTGTGACGTTTTCTTCGTCACAACATTATAATTCAGATTTTCTATTTAGCTCTCACGAGAAATGAACTCTCCATCCAAACCGCCAACACCAATTTCACCTCTGTCAATACCATTGACAGAAGAATAAGCTGTTTCAGTGCCCATTTAATGCACATCCACCTCTGAGGACAACCATAAATGCATACCAACATACGGCTGAGTTTCTTCCCTGACCACAGCCAGTGAAATCATTTTCTTTTTTATGTGATCAGAGATACAATACACGAGTAATGCGGTGGGATTTTACTCTACGGTCTTTACAACATGCAATACAAACGTGTCTCTTTAGCCTTAAGAAGCGCCTCGCCTTTTCAGACGTCATCATTCCATCTGGATATTTCTTTGAGGTGCACAGATAGTAATGCACATTTCCCAAACGCACACGTCCGCAATGTGCACATGCACATTGCGGAAAAAAACACATTTTCATTTCGGTCTTTCAACTGAGGGTTTGCCTCATTTCTGCACGTCTGCTCGCTGGCTGACCTGCAGGTGGTGGTAGTCGCTGTAGGAGTGCACCTCGTCGCCAGTGACTACGTCGAACACTGAGTGCAGACACTTGGAGGGGCTGGGGTCCTGTTTGAACTGCTCCACCTGGTAGAGAGACACACGGAGAGCGAGAGGACAGGATGAAAGAGAGAGGGTCAAGGGTAAGCACGGAGAGGGGGAGACAGTCATTTCCTCACAAGAGGTACAGTGCACCACAGTAGCAGCCTTGAACACATTCAATGACACATAATTAGGAACCTTGCTTATTGAGTTAATGCATGGTAATTCACTGTCATGGCAACATCTGTTATGCTTCAATGGGAGTTTTGTTTCTGGGTGCATACTGAGGCGATCTCCTCGTCCATGTTTTTACATCTAACCATTAAACCTCGATTGGGACTTCAACTCCTTTCAACAGACTTCCTCTGTCATTTACTTACAATGGATTCACATTTTTTTTGCTCCTTATCTTTAAAAGGAGACCGGAAATATGCATATATAAGCCTCATGGTTGAGGAGTTGTTACGTATTCATGTTGGCTGTGTCATTATTGGCATCTTCGTTTTCGAGGGAATAGGCTAGGGGATATGTTGAGGGTATATATGCGACAATTTCCGAAGAAGCAATGTATTGAAAAATCCCTCTCAATCATCACTTATGACCCATTAGAAGTGTGTGGCGCTGTGTGTGTGTGTATCTGCCTGTATTTTCTCTTTTCGTCGTATTTTGCTGTGCACTGAGGATTTTGAACCCCCACGTGGGGGAACAACCCCCAGGGGTGTGCAGCCCGTTCTCATTCCCAGGTCAAACACCGGCGCTTTGCCCCGCCTCCTGCGCTGCACTCATTCAAAACCCGGCACCTTCCCACGTGTTAGTGAAGAGGTGCGGATGTGTTTATTTGTGCCAGTCCCTCTCGTTATTCAATCTCTTGCTCTCTCGACCACCGCTGCTCTCTTTCTCTCACAATTTTGAATGCTTTGTTTGCAAACAGCAACCGACAATATGACTACATGCTATGCCTTTAAGGCCATGTTCAACTTCCCACAATGCAGGACTACATGAATCCATAAACACTGCAGTGACACATATAATCTGTTGTTTCTCAGATAAAATAAACTGGAACCGTCAATATGATATATACTGTACAACATAGCATAGTGTGCTCCCAAACTGATAAGGGGTCAGATTTAGGGGCGACCAAACTACCACTTGGTTTACGACACAAAACACATAAAAAAAACAGAACAAGGTGTTTGTCGTGTTTTGTGTTCAGTGAATTGTTTCTGGCTCAGTGTGTGTGTGTGTGTGTGTGTGTGTGTGTGTGTGTGTGTGTGTGCTGCATTGACTCGACTGCACTCCCAAATTACAGCTGGGCCACCAGTCGCGTCGTGCAGAGTTATAAATAATTGGCCCTTTGTCACATTTTTACCTCATTTGTTTCTCCTCTCTCCATCATCGAGCCCCAACTCGCTGTCTTCATTTTTCTCTTTCTACCTCCCTCGCCTCACTTCTACCTATCTTCTCTCATTACTTTCTATTATTCACTCTCTCTTTTTCTTTGTTACACCCCATGCTGTCTGTGTATCTTTATCTCTTTTCTACCTCTGGCCACCTTTTTCTCTCTCTCGCTCTCTTTCTCTCCTCGTCAGGTCAGAGTGGAGACCCTCTGTCCCACTTTTGCTCAAACTGCTCCACTTCCTGCCATCCCACGGCATGTGTGTGTGTGTGTGTGTACGTGTGTGTGTGTTTGTGTGCGTTTGTGGTACATGTGTGACAGTGAGGGAAGAGCTACCTCTGTAAGCAGCTGACGATAGGTACTGCTGTTTATGTTTCTATTAACACTATTTCTGTGTAGAGATCTCTCCGATTCCCACTCAAGCACAGCCACGGTGTCAAGTGGCTCTTCCCTCGGGATATTCTGAGAGGCCCCAGATCTTGTTTATTGTTTCAAGTGCTGCAATGCGCCAATATGAGCTTCAAATTAGTGAAACACTTCAACTTCTGCTGCTCCATTCCGGCGATAGGAAATTGTCCGCTTTCATGCATTTATTTTACATCTATTGCCAACAAAAAAAAACCTTGCATCTCGTTAAACCAATAACCAGGCCATTCCTTGTCCTTTCTGGATGCAAAAGAGATACATGTGATTTTCCAAAACAACTCATGGGAAAGAGATAAAGTCAGCCTACAGCAGTACTTCAGGAATGTCATCGTGTTTTCGATGAAATGTATTTTGTGAAATGTTGTTGTGTTTAGTGAATGTCTTGTTTTGTGAAATGTCGTTTTGCTTTGACCCTCAGGGCTACCATACTTTTACACTTAAAGTTAATGTAAAAAAAAAAAAAGTAAGTGAATGCAAAATAGAGGAATCTAAACCAAAGCTGAAACAGTTTTTTAGGTGTTCATTTTGTAGGTTTGCTCCTACTCTGGCTGTTCAGGGTGATCAATAAGGTTAAAATATTAAAATAATATGGAATTGTTTGCTTAATATGTCAGAATACAGGGTCAATAACAAGGTTTATCTATTGAGTAAATTGCACAATTCCCCACATGCTACAGAGCATCACTTCTCAAAAACAGAACGCTGAATTAGAATAAATTAATAATTTAACATGAACAAGATAAAATGGTTAGAATATATATATTATTTAAACCCAAATTACGAAAATATATTCAAATCAAGCAAGATGATGGCACTGAATCTTATGTCATCGCAACTTATCAAGGAGTCAGATGTGTTTAGATGAACAGGTGGGAACAGGAATCCTTCCTCTCGCCCTTAAAGTTGTCAGATTTAAAAACATCCAGGACGACAACAGGTTGTGTGAATTATTCAAAGTAGGAGAGTTTGATAATGAATCACATTTCCGACCTTGAAATATTTTTGTCCCGTTCGGAGCAATGCAACAAGCTGTAAACAAAGCAACGACATATGAAACAGTGGCTTATTCACACATCCCGCATCAATGGAGCAACATCCGCATTCATTTTCACGAGCTAGTTGCCAACTTTGTCTGTCTGCTATTTGGTATCGGGCAGGTAGCGTGCACTGTTTATTAGAGCTTTGTCGCTGTCTACCTGTCGAGCAACTCAGCCGCCTATAATGATATAATGTCCATATTCATCTAATCTGCATCAGCAAATATTTTTTGTTGGAAACATTGTTACTTTGAAAGAAATATGCAAAATATTCAAAGCATCAACATATTTCATTACTTTTCCCTCCAATATTCGACCACTGCTGACTATCTCTGACCATGACTGAGTGTTTGAGCGTTTTAGGTGTCAAAGTCCAATGCTTTTGTCTGCCTGAGAAAAAATAATATTTTACCCTTGCATCTTCTGGCTCGCTTTGTGGGTTTCCAGACAAAAAATGAACCTTACCAACAAAGTGACTTTGACTATTTGTTTGTGCAAACTGAAAAAAACAACCTTGAACTTGAGAAAATTGTCCCTAAACAACACCCAACACACTATAGCCAGACTGCGGGGCCCAGCTGTTGTATTTGCTCTGTGATATTTGCCCAGCAGTGGCCCTGTGTCACGTCTCCATTAAAAATGCCATGTTGTTGGTAAGTGTTGGAGACGGGGCCGTAATGAACGCTGCTCTGTGTAATTAACTGTGTAAACGCAGCTTTGTAATTAAGACACTGGAAAGCTCTCCCCCAAATTAGGTCGTCAAGGTCGAGGCAGAATGAAACGGAATGGCTTTCAAAGGCACACGCACGTACGCACGCACGTACACAGGGACACGGCCAGCTGCTCGATTTGAAAATGTATGAATAGAAAACAGCCTGCAAACGAAGGCCATATCTGGTTCTGCGTTTGGATAAGTAAAATGGCCATTTTCCATTCACAGCCTGCTCATGCGCATGCATCAGGTTTGCTGCACATGTGGAAACCCCCTCCGGCGCAAAAGTCTTTGGCAATTAACAGATTGCCGGGTTATTAAGCCATTAGGACTAAAGCAACTGGCCCCCGTTGTCATTTGCTATAATATGAAAGAGGAAACCAGATGTATCCGGTGCTCTGAGAGGCTCTGATGAATAGCAGCTCAGAAATACACCTTTGATCTGCAATACAGTGTGTAATCGCGGTGTGCTTTTATGCAAACACCGCACAGTGTGAGAGCGGGAGCCGGCTCAAAACTCACCTTATCAGCCTGTCTCATGTAGCAGTAGAGGATCCCTCTCATGCACTTGATGGCGGAATGCTCCAATTCATGGGTTCTCCCCATGTCGTCGTCGATGCGTCTGCATAGTGGGGTGAGCGGGGAGAACACAGTGAGTGGATGAACACATGATGAACACATGATGAACACATGAAGAGCACCGATTTTAAAGGACGATTCTGGTTTATTCCCACTCGGGTCTTGCTGATGTAGTTCAATTTTACATTTTACTCACCAAAGTAATCGCTGTGATTTGGGAACATTACGTCATCACTACTACAAAGTGAAATGGGGCAACAAAAAAAACGCAAGAAGTCAGACGACTATACAGGTAAATAATCCAACGGCTTAGACAGATTATCTGAACCACTTTATCTGGAGGTCAAACGGCTAACGTGGAGGTTTGCTTAAAACCTGTACAATCATCTGACCTTTTTCTAATGACGGCGTCACGTTGTCAGACTCCAGCAATTAACTTGGTGAGTTTAATGTTTGTATTAAACCGGAATAATCCTGAAGTCGAGTCGAGCCAGATGGTGCTTCAAAAACGAAAACGATCAGCCTTTGGTTTGGTTTTGTTGGGCTGTGTGAAAGCTTTCAATTGGTTTGTGGTGCTGCGACAACAAACAACCGGACCTGGACCTGCAAAAGAGAGGGTCTCTACCTGTCCATCATTATTTATGACATACGAGCTCCAGTTGCTCAAGTCTCAGATAATAATACTCACAAGGAGTTATTTATTCTTGGTGCCCACCGGAGAGGATAAACAAAGGTGCAATAAAGTGCTGAAGGAATTGCTGTCAGTCTCTAGACATGGATTTTCCCACGTGGGTCCGATTATGCGGTATGACACCTAAGCGGCCATGTGAATGAGCTGTCATTTTATGTGATGTCTACTCCTCTTTATTCGTTTGAAAGACGTCGGCGTGAACACATATCAGAAGAGCACCACAAAGCAATCATTTTCCTGGAAAAACTGACGTCCGCTAAAGGTGTAAAAGCGACTTTAGTGACTGTCGATAGAAGGAATTGAACCAGCAACTGTTTTGTCACAATGTGGCCTGCCTAAATAATCCATCAGTGGCATTGAACATTGGCTAAAAATCAATGTGCAGTTGTTGTGGAATATTTCTTATGACTAGTCGGGAGAAGAAAGTGAAGGTTTTCTATCAATATAAAGTAAACAGAGTTATGATGAACGATCAAGGTTTGTAAAGTCAATTTATTTGCTTGCAAGCAAAGAGAACAGATTCACAGACACATTGCAGTGATCTATAAGAGTGGTCTACCTAACAGTCACAATGCATGGACATTTATGCTCAGACAGCTTCCTGTTATCTGCTTAGCTAACAAGAATACACAAAGAACACAATGAAAGGCAGGTCATCCTTCAAGCCTTAGTATACTTCATTTAAGACAGTCAGGAAGATGCTTTATCTCCTGTTTGCAAATCCCTTTGTTCACAGTTTGCCTTACAATAAACCGTTTAAACACACAGCAGATGCTTCCTTTGAAGCCACTGTGACATTGTTAAAATGACCATTGCAGAGACAGAATAGACATTCTTTACCCTCACACATCATATATGCATGCAAAGGTTTACGCCTTTACAACTTCAGATAATGCATCACAAAGGAAGTCAAAAGTATTTCAAACAGAGGATCTCTGTTAGTCAAGGCCTCTCTGTGTCTCTGTCTTACGAAGAAGAAAGAAACAGTGCACAAGATAACAGATACGAAGAAGAAAGAAACAGTGCACAATGATAACAGATAACAAGACACCTGGATACTAAACTAATTAAAGTCATCTACTGAAACTACAGTTTGGTGTCTGCTCTTTTAGGACTTACATTCTTTAAACCTTCACATGAGACTGTGACATATTTTCCCATTACACAGTTTGTAAAGCCTTTAAAACCCGTAGCGTGATACTCGCATATGTATCACCCCAAATTGTGAGCTCAAACAATTTAAATAAATGTGCCTTCAAGAGAGTGATATTGCCAAGATGCCTCCCAGGAGTCAATCGATTGCGGTTGCAGTGACCACAGCGGGAGTCAGCACATTCCCAGTGGGGCTGGCAGATCTCGGATGCACATTGCAAAGGTCACGCTCACAGTGACTTTGGGCATCGACAAAGGGAATGCTCGCCGCCGAGGTGAAACTTCCGCGGTAAACGCTGCATTAATCACACGCACGTCTTTTAGATGTGACCCTCTGCCATCAGAAGTGATAGCAGAGGATACAGCAGGCGGCTTCTCATCTGCCAGCGCCCTGTTTTAAAGCACTTCATTACCGAACTACAAGTATCCAACGTTGTGATGTGCATGAGGTGATCCAACACTGGCCAGGGGTTACAGTAACACACCCAGCTCTTCAAATGTAATTAGATTAATCAGGAAAACACAATGGGTGTCAGAAAGGTTACAAGAAAATATTAACACCAACTCATCAACCCACCCCCGATAAAGAGGGGGACACTACAGGCGAACAGGGTAAAGATTTCAACTAATAGATATCTTACTGGAAAGGTATGTTTAAATATGCAAATGAGGCATTCTCTTATCAAATATGTGCTCATTAGCATACAAGTCCAGAAAAGAAATCTGAACATTGGATGAAGGTAAGTTCAAAATTCTTATTTCACTTTGTTGAAATATTAGAAAATATATTTTCGTCATGGTTTCAGTAATAAAAGGTTCTATAAATCAGGTTATGAATGATGTATGAGCTAACCCCTCTGTAAAAACCTTCAGAATATAGATAGGAATGAAATGGGGAAGTTTGGTCAGTGCTACTGAAGTGGAGATTTCTGGCTCAGAGAAAATATGTATTGTAAAATGACATACATTTTGACACTTATATATTTCACCATGACACTTCACCAGTTGATTACTTACATTAAAACACTTATTTGCAGTATAAATAACCCCCTAAATGTGCTTTTGGGATGTTTTCTTTCCTCTAGTCTGAAAGAAGACACGATATGGAAGCAAAATAGTCCAAAATCTCAAAATTGATCTGTGCATGAAAAAAACGATGTTTTTGTCTGCTGTCTCCTCTTAAAAAAAACTAAAAAACTACTAATAATATTATCACAAATAAAATGTAACAGAATAAAGCATAACATGTGACTGGGCAAGGTGGTGGATACAACTTTGTCTACTTAGAATCGGAGTTTGTGACAAATCCAAGTGCCACACACACGCACACTCTCTCACACACACGCATACTCTCACACACACACACACAGCAGCTGGGCGTGAAGTAAGTAATGGCAGTAGCCAAGCCTGTCAGATGAGAATCATCTTAATTAAATCCCAGTGACAATTCTAATAGGAGGCAGCCATGACTGATGACTGCCTCTGGTCACATCACTGCAGTACACTCTATTTTTACCCCTCCCTCCCTCCCTCCCTCCCTCTCTCTCTCTCTCTCTCTCTCTCTCTCTCTCTCTCTCCCCTCCATCTCATCCGTTCAGTCCATCTCCCATTTCTTCTCCCTGACTCTTATCTCTCCCTCTGCCCACCTCGCCCCCTCACTCTCTTTCCCTCTCCCTCCCACCCATCGACCATCTCGACCTTTAGTATCTCCTTCTCTCCATTTCCCTCTCTGTCCCCATCCTCCCAATCTCTCTCTCTCTCTCTCTCTCTCTGCTTATCTTTCTCTCCATCTTTCCTCCTCTGTCCTATTACAGGCTCATTTCGTGAAAGTGCTCTTTTCCCTTGAAACTAATCACGGAGGAAATGCAGACATAAAGTGCAGGGACGGTTGATAAAGGAGTTTGGGTCCTCTCAGTTAAATTCTAAAGTGTTCTTCACCAACAATCCCGAAAGTGTTTGAAAAGCAAAGCCTTCGAATGACAGAGGCAGATTAGAGATCAGGGTCAGTGAGCATGAAATAGAGGAGAGTGCAACAAAACCAAAAGGCAAAGAAGACGAAGGGACCCATGTAACCAAGGACTCCTGGTCTGTTCTGCTCTATAAAGACACTAGAAGTCATATATCCGTCCATTTTCATGTCCCTTTTACATCAGCGTGGAAAAAATGTAGTACAATGGAGCCTTATAACACAGTCTCTCTCACAATTTATACGACAAATACTCAAATCTCAGCTGCAGATTCTGTAAAAAATACAATGATTGTATCAGCCTAAAAGAGACCCAATGTAATAAATATATTATTGCCCTATTTATCTATGGAATTTCATATGTCATTTATTGTGCACTCGCACATGCACCCAAAATGATGTACCTATTCTTTACTGTATATAGCAGCAAGCAAGCACTCTGCCAAAATGACTACATGTGCTCAACATATCCCGCTGCACACTAAGAATTTAGGTTTTTGGGTGTCAGTGGTTTACTGGCTCCAAAGTACATGATCTCTGGGTTTTTCATATATTATCAGTAGCTGATACCTCCAATCATGCGAACAAATTAGGTTTCTAGAACTAGCAAAAATGTTGGTGAAACCGCTTTTAAAGTACGTTTTAACTAGATTATTTACATATATTTATATGTATAGATCATCAAAGATTTTAAAAACAGCTCAAAAGATAGTATCTTGTCCTGATACTGAATGACAATTCTTTGGTTGATGCTGTTGACGTGTTTGCTGGTTTGTTTTAAGTCTGTCATCTCTTTTATGCGATTTTTTTATGTTGTTGTTTTTTTGTCTTTTTGCTTTCTTGTTTTTTGAAGTCTGTTATTTGTGCTTGTGTGAAACTTTTACACTGCACAAAAAAACATTTCACTTAAACCCCTCCCCTGGCACCGATTGTCCAATCACACAGCTTCACAGCTGTATACAGGCATGGCAGGCCTGTCAAGCATTGGATTTCTCCACATCTTGAGGAGGCGTGCATTGAGCTGTGGCACTGTTGTGTTGAGTTTGAGGGTCTTGGCCTTTTTTTCTCCAGCCTTGCAAATACCCATAATACAGCAACAAAGTGAATGGTCAATCAATCTTTTTTTCGTACTTCTTGGGGCCAGACCCCGGGATTGACCAGGGTCAGCTCTAAAATATCCTCAAAAATCTGTAGGATACTGTGTGTACCAATTAGTGCGTCATTTCAAAGACCTAGAGACCAATCAGGGAGTCAAAAGTCCCAATAAAACCGTAATAATTAAGACAAAATGAGTGTGCTTTGTGTACTAACCGGTAGGCCATAGACAGGGCCCAAGCACTGGCAGCACAGTACAGGGAGTCCCGGACCTTGGCCTCCTTGCAGGTGGGGCATGTTTTGACCGGGAAAAGGCCAGTGGTTGGACTCTGGTAGTTCAGAATGGTCGTCTTGACTGGATGGAAAGAGACAGAGAGGAAGTGTTGGTGAGGCAACAACTCTCTTGCAATGCTAGTATTATCTACTCACACCCACATTACAGGAAACAGTGACGATAACACAGCTAGACCACAGCATGCTAGCTAGCACTGCTCCATTACAAAACAGCTGATGTGACTGTTTCTTTTCTCTGCAGCCAGCGCAGCTTGATGTACTGAAGACGAACAAGTCCAGAAGGCATTCACGCCGTCATTCATTCCTAGTCTTCCCTGAGAAATGCCAGTTTTTAAAGAGCACACATACCTCCATGCCCCCCACACACTTTGCGAGACCTTGGATTGTTTCCACTCCGACACAGTGGAAACGCTCTCAAGCAGCATCACTCCCGTCACACCTACGCAAGTCTCTATTTTGATCCAGGCTTTTAGATGTTCACATGTCAGAACAGATGTGTGCTTTGCTGCGTCAGCTGGACAAGAAGCAGTCCCAGAGGCAGAGAGGACAGGATGGATTACCAGCGTATATGTTCTCTACTTCCGAGCTAGTCTGCATTTGTCAAGTGCAGAAATAGAATATTTATCCAGCTCCTCCAGGAGGGTTACAGCGTATTCCCTGACCCGCGACCTTCCTCGGGCTGTGCAGCTGTTGCCTCCGCTTCATGCTCTTCTGTGAATACTTCCTGTGCATATTCAAGCTCAAATAAATCAAAGGAAATTATGTTCAGGTTGGGCAAAGACACGTGGCAGACATTTTTTTCTTCTTTGATGAAGGAAAACAAATGGTGTGATGAAGTCACTTGGAGAGGAGCTCCGTTTGCATTATTTTGGCATGTACAGTAAACACTGTAGGAGTGTGATAACAGATGGATGCTTTTTCAAGTCGAGCAAAGTGTGAACAGTGAAATGGAAAGTGTGAATGGCTGCGACTGTAAAGAAAAACAACGATTCCTGGAGGAATATCACTTGGACTCAGGGTGCCATTGTTGCACCTCAAAATACTTGGATTGTGCGGCACAAGCTGACAAGAGTCAGTTGATGTTCATGTCAGTGTTTTGCAAGGCATTGTGAAGACAGACATGGAGTTGTGCAAGCTGACTTGCTTTGTGGTGTGTGCACATACTTCACCACCAGTTACAGACTTAACATGGACTCACATGAGGAGAAACAGGCTTCATTTCCATTTTTGTGTAAACTATTTATCTAATTCATTGGAGGGAGATTTAGATACTTCAACTAGAGAACGAGGATTTATGTGAACTTCTACGCTGCTGAAGTAACTTGGAGCAAAACACAGAATCCATTCCAGCTCCAATGGGGGCTGACTTTGACCTCTGGTCTCCCTCTGAGAGACTTTACTGTTCACGCATATATTTAAAAAGCGGTTACAAAACACAGTGATGCATGACCTGTCGTCTTTCTCTTCTTCTGCACCCGCATCAGAGTGGAAATTACATACAACTTCTTCATGTGTTGCACGTCTGTGTCTTTAACATAAACTTTGACCCAACATCTTGCTTCCTGAAAGTTACCCAGTGAAAAACCACACATGCCGATGGTTTACTGATATGAAATAATACTAGGGCTGCACAATACATCAAACTTTTATCGAAATCTCAATATGGCCTACTGCAATGTTCAAATCGCAGGAGGCGCAATAAAAAAAAAAAAAAAAAGAAGAGATGTGTATCAGAAAAACATTTTTATTAAGTATTTACATTGCCCTATAGTAACCTGGTTACTGCCAATGCTCGTATACTCGCACCTTGTCACTAAGAAGCGTCAACGAATCGTATGTTTTTGTTTCACCAGTTCTGGTCCCCTTCTCTCTCCCCACAAGTCCTGTTCCTTTCAGTCAGATATTGAAGAAAAACATATTCTTGCTGTTAGACTGTTCCCAGTGCCATTCAATGACATAGCTACGACAACGAGAGCTTGGGTAACACTTCAACAGCTACTCGGCGAGAATGTAGCTCGCCACGCTTGGCCGTTTTGAAGCTTCGTCACTTATAGGGTGAACATAGCGGCGCTTAGAACTAAACGCTAATGGCGTCGTGATAGCAGGCTCACAATGACAATGCAACAGTAGGCAGGTATTTCGTCACAGGTGAAGTCTTGATGAGAGAAATCAAAACGTTGACCTGATAATTGTGCTGAATGAAAAGTCAGGGCGTCACTGAAGTTATTAACATTCACCCATCTTCTTGTTAATAATTTACCTGTTTATGCACTGTGCAACATTTTTATTTTATTTTCATGATGTATAGTCCTTACTAGATTCAAGAGACAGTTTTTTTCCCCCAACAGTAGTGCTACTTATCAATCTAGATAGTTTTGATGAGTTGCCCCGTGTTGGAGAAATAGAGATGACGAGAAGTCATGACCCGGTTACTCAAGATAATCCACGGACCTCGTCTCAACAAGGTTTCATGTAGGAACGATGGTTGAAAGAAAATACTTCTGACATGAAACTGCTCATAACAAGGTCCGTTAAGAGGAAAAAATACATATTTTAGATTTTGGTGTGAACTGTCCCTTTAAATGTCAAACACCTGATTGATTGTAAAACAATACAACTTTTACCTGTTTTTTTAATTACTGTGCAGTACTAATTTGGTGATGTGTCTTTCAGAACACAATGAGACATCGAGTCTAAAACCAGGCTACCCCAGACGACTAGACGTCTTGAGACCTGAAAACGAAACAGCATCACGAGTAGGAATCCCTGCTGTCCTCTGCCAGCATCAGGTAGTGTAAAGGGAAAGTATCAAAATCCAGTCCTTATTTTAGTGCCACCAGAATGACTGGGAAGCTCTGCAGTTGGTGACGACCAAGGTATTTTCTTTGGAGACATATTTCAGCTGGGGGGGTTTGTGACGGTGAAAGTCTGGCTGCGCTAAATGGATGAGCAAAGATGAACCAAAATGGTTCGAGTTCACCTGAGTTCATGCACAGCATCAGTTACCGAGGAGAGAACAACGGATGGAAGCTTTCAATACGAACAGATTGCAGCTCTCCAATAATATATGCTGAAATATTACATACTCAAACAGAAAGCCTTCAGGGAAAGTCATTCATCTGTTTCAAACACACACACACACACACACACACACACACACACAAACACACACACCCTGCAGAGGTCCCCTCACCGATGACTAATCTGTCTGGAGGGATCACTTCATTTTTCATCAGAACATTATGCCGGTGCAAATGACGGGGACATCCATTCTGCGCTGTCGTTTGTAACGCAGCAAACAAGAGACAGAGAGGGAGAGACTGATGGAGAGGGAGACGGAAGGGGACAGGGGTGAGGGAAAGACAGATAGAGAGGATGTGTGTGTGTCTATGAGTACAAAAGAGCGACAGTAACGGGCACGGGGAGAGAGTCGGGGGGACGGGGGGGGAATTGTCAGTCTATATTGGCGCATGGACTTGTGTGTGTGTGTGTGTGTGTTGTATAACGGTCAATTGAAGGCGACAGGCACATCGGCAGTGAGATATAGAGGTTGATGGGGTGAATTAGGCAGAATATTAATAAACCTCTCAGGCACTCCAACGCCTCGCACTAACTAAGTGCACACTTACATGCATGTGCACGTGAAAACACACACACTACACACACACACACACACACAAACTAGACGCAGACGCTGTTGTTTTACACGTCATGTCAGCATGAGTGAGTCTGCGACTTGCTACAAGTCGGTTTATACGGAAGGTAGCCCGTTACAGCGGTTGTAATGGCAACGGTACACATACAAATGGCTCCTATTCTATTTCTACGGTCTCAGCATAGAGTAATGAGGTGTTAGACGTACAGACACACACACACACACACACACATACAGATTCATCTGGATTGCTAAGCAGTAATAGGATGTGGTAGTGGCAGAATGTTAAAAGGCTGTGAGATGTATTGGTCATCACACTCGACATAGACAACTGTATCTGACATTGGTTTTCTCGCAAAGTGCTGTCTGTCTCGTTGACCACAAATACGCCAAGAACCTGTGGTCAGTAAATTAATTATCCATTATTATATTAACGAAGATTTAGATCATCGGTGCCAGTGTCTGTATGATAAGCTCTCGAAGAGCAGTGAAGCACCCTGGGTAATTTGCTCAGGTTTAACTGACCACCATGATATGCTATAGGCAATTTAAAAAAAGTGATGTTGAAAAGTCAAATAAGTACGCACGTATGTTCATAGATCTCACAACAAATGTCGTGAAAATAAAAGGAAATGTAAAAACAGTTCACTTATTTGATGCTTTGTTGAAGAATTTGTGAAATACAACTGAAAAAAACAGCGGTTACATTTGGAGTTACTGCAAATTAAGCATTTAAAAACGAACTATAGTCTTACTCAATTTAATTTTCTCAGAAATCGGAGAAATGTCTCATCCGCTGTAACTCAGGTTCAATACAATAATTCAAATCTTTGAAGCACACAGGTTTAATAGGTTTTTATGTCAAATGTGTTTCACAGAATAAGCCCAGGATGAAATGGGTTGCCGAGCTCTGATACCACTCAATTTGGAACTGAGTAGTATCTCAGGGTTTCATCTTCAAGTCACACGTTCTTCAGTTGTTCACACTGCAAGTTTCTCTGGATGCAAATCAACTGTTGTTGGGAGTTTTCTGCCAAGCCATCCATCAAGCTAATGTCCCACTAAATCAGCAGCTAATGTCTCAGACGCACACAGTCTGCTCTTTTACAATGGGCCATTTCACTGCACCGACAGCGTGGAGAAAATGAGGGAAGATGATGAGAAAGAAAAAGAAAGAAAAAAACACTGAGTGATAGATTGAAAAGAGAAAAAAAATAAAGAGATGAAAGATAGAGAGAGTGAGATGGTATCTGTTCAGTGCCCCGGCAGATGCTACAGGAGAAAAATGGAAACACGCAAACTGTGATATTCACTGTTCGAGCCAGTCTCAACAATTACTTCTGGGTCCAATCCTGCTGACGTTGTCAGAATATTTCTTGCAATATAGCATCCGTGACATGAGGTACTATTGAATGAAAAACAAATGAAAAAACAAAACAACAGAAATGCTGACAGAGTAGCAACATCTAAGAAAGAAATGTTGATTTATTATTTTTGGGGGGGAAATACGCAGATTTGCTTTCTTTCCAAGACTGAGACGAGGAGAGAAGATCAAGAGCCAAGTGGATGTTTAGCTTAGACAGTGGTGGAATGTAACCAAGTACATTTACTCAAGTACTGTACATAAGTACAATGTTGATGTACTTTACTTAAGTTTCTCCTACTTTATACCTCTACTCCACTACATTGTGGAGCTCAATATTGTTGTTTGGACTCCACTACATTTGTCTTTAGTAACTTTGCAGATTTAGATACCTGATATATTGTATATTAACTTTCAATACAGCATGTTTCCAGTATTTAAGTAAATGTGTAATCTAACACACTGTTCACAGCTGATTATGTCAAATGAAAATATGATTAAAGCTGAATTATGTTCCACAGAATTGCGCAGTATTTATGAGATTTTGTGATCTCTCTATCGTTTTGCCCTGAGCAGCATGAGAGTGTTTGATTGTGAAATGTTAAATAAACTGCTTCTGTCTTTTACTCCAGTCTTTGTTACTTTTGTCGTTTACCATGGTGGCAGTTTGGATTGTTATTTTCCTTTTTTGTTTGTTTCTGAAATTAATATCCATTACTTTTAAATCCACATGTCAAAAATAAATGGTCTGTTATGATATGCATATTTAAATTACACTCTGTAACTATTAGTCACTGATTTGATTCGGCCTGCAAAATCAACACTGCAAAGGTTGGGTCAAGGGAGAGAAGTAGAAAAACAAAACATTGTGAAAATCAAAAGAGACAGATGGAAAGAAAGAGCACAAAACTGAAAAACAACGAGCTCAAGCTTTTGCAACGAGCTCATAATGACTATGAAAAGAAGAAAACGTGTTTTCTCCTTTCCTTAATCGGTGCGAGCCAGACGGCAGAGCGATCGTGCCTTCTGCCTCCAGTATTATCAGGAAGGACTCAATGGAGTGTGGCCACATTGCCACATAAATAGGAAACCATAGAGAGCTGAGGGAATGTAAGAGGAGAGGAGGAAAAGAGAGAGAGAGAGAGAGAGAGAGAGAGAGAGAGAGAGAGATGATAGAGTGATGAGCTGTGAGAGATGGAGGTGAACTTTCCTCCTATCGCAACAGCGTCGTATGCTTAATATTGCTGGGGGGCGCCTTTGCAACAAAACAACAAAGAAAGAGAAAGGAGGAAGAATGTAACTGCTTTGATTTTTCATTGTCACCCCCAACCTCACCCCTCTCCACCTCTTTTCCTCCCTGAAACCGAAAGAAAGCAGGTATATTGGCAGGCAGGTCTGGGTGCCGGCGATAACAATGTTGGCTTTGTTCCCCGCTGGAATTGGACGAGCCGCCACCCAACACAACAATTAAACGAGCCCGATGTTCAACGCCGCATTTCTTCTGACATCCTGCAATCTGGCGGAGGGCTTTTCCTCCGCAGAATCTATGGGGTTTCAATGCGGCCCATGCTGGAGGCTACGCTGCACTCGCTGATAGCAGCGAATCAGTTCCAACTGAGAGCTGCACCTGTTGCACACTGAGCTCTGCTCCCCCACTGACATTATTGTCTGCATTTTATAGATACTGTGACTTTAACATCATAAACAGCAGTCCGCATAAAAAGGTTTTCTGCGATATAAAGGAGGCCATATCAACACCCTGTATTTGGGGAACACCATATATTCTGAAGGAAGGAATAAATGTGACAACTCTAGGTTACACGTTGTGTACCGATGACCTGTTAATAGCACCTTCATATTGGGTGCTTGCTAACGATAATAATGAACGTGTACACGTTTTGGAGCTCTGAGCTTCTCTGTGAGTGTCCTGACTTGATTTGAATTCGGTAAACGACTTGTCGCATAGTGCCGCGATTTTTAAAGATGACCTCTCACATTCCTGACTGACTGTTCCCACTCGCTGAAACATTGGGAACACACAATGTGATCAATCAGCTGAGTGAATCAGACAGAAGCATCTTGTCTCGTGATCCATTGAGTTACTAGATGATGCTCTATGGTGGCCTGTGCTGTAAAATGCTGCAGGCCCCTGTAGCCTAGTTTTAAAAGGCACTTTAAAGTGCACCTCTGCCAAATTCCAGCTGGAAAAATGTCAATTTAGGTCACTTTTAAATTTCTCTTAGTTCAAGGACACTACAAGGAGAAGGCCATGCTTTACGTATATTCTGTAATCCCTTAAATGTCACAGGTAGAGAAGCAGTGGAAAGCTCCAAGGCCAAGCAGGGTGTTTTTTTTCTATTTTCCTTTTTACAGTACTGCATACCAGTAATTATAAATGAAGGTAAGATTATCAGACTTCTACAACTACACACAGCACTGTGCATAGCTCGTGGACATAGCTAATCAAAAATGTATGATTATAGTGCATTTGTCTTGAAAAGAAACACAACCAGAATTTTTTTATAGCACTTAAAGCTCAGAAGCACCTCCTAAGAGCACGCAGGTTGTTGTTTTTTGTCTACTGTACCGTATAGTACATTTTTGTTACTTCAACAAGAGCAACTGGGAAAAGCCGAGCATACGTCCACGGTGGCCAAATCAGCACTGATCCCTGGGGACAGCGTCCTGAGCTGCATTACCAGAATCTAACAGCCAGAGGCAACACACGATCCTGCCTTCTGCACACTAAACCAAACTCTATCTGCTCAGACAAAGTTGTGTGTCTGGCCTTTCCATTGTGTCGATGCCTACTGTTAAATAATGTCAAGATATAAATTGTTTTGTTTCACCGTGTCTTTTGGTTCACTACTACTTCTGTACCTCCAGCTACATCTCCTCTCCCTGAGGCTTAATCCGGTGTGGACACAGACCATCCTAACGGCAGACAGGTGCTACTAATAAGATTAATAACGGCTGCATTCAGTTTAGGTGTTGCAGTGCCAAGGCCTAGCTATTGTGCGCGTTGGCTCACTGGCACACCTAAGTGGAACGGAACCATCATTAATGCCATTAGTTACACCTGTGCTTTTATGTAATGACGAGTCAAAACCCCTGACACGAAAATGGCCTATCATTAAACAAACAGATGTCCATTTGAAGTGGGTGCACTGGCATTGCATCAAATTTGAAATGTTAGCCCACTGCTGTCAAATATGGTGGTTAACCTTCTGCCAGCCTAATGGCCCAGGCAGTCACACGTGAGCTCATGACAGCAATATTTCATACCAAATTCAGTTTCTTTTTAATAGAATATTCACTTCGGTATTAAAGACGGTGTCACTTTGTTTACATCCAAATTTTGGTTAGGTCCGAAATCGAGAATGCTACATGTTTAGCTGCGTGGCCGTTGGGTGTAATTTCTTCGTGCGTACTGGGAGGTAGCACTGGCTGGCACAGCACTGCTTTCACAGCTGCAGGTAATTAAGTAATCAGTACTAATGTGTATTTATCTCTCCTGCGGTGAGGCTGGAGACTCTTCCACTGATTACACATGCCAGGATCATCACCTGGAATTGGGTTGCTGCAGCTATTTGTCAGTCCATTGCCATCCATCCTTAGATCCTAACAACTAACTTGGCTCGTTTCAAACTAGAGATTTGAGATGAGCTTTTGTAGATGCAGGCATGACTTATTTTTTGATGAAATATGCACATCACAGTTTGTAGCAGTATTTAGAATGAGCGGGAAATACAAGATTATGCTTACTCACTCGACGTTATTTGGTCATATAGTCTAATAATTTTGGTATAATGTTTTGTTGGTTTAGGTTATGTTTTTTGGTTTACATCATTATGAAACAGCATCATAATCAAGTGTTGGTCAAATATGAAGACCATATAGCTTTATACTTCAATTTAGGTCATACTCCATTAGCGACCATCGATAATAATCGCTGTTACACATGGCGGTATGTGTAAATATTTAGTAATAAGTAATCTCTCCATGCTAGTTTGTGTACATAGTTATATTGCAGTGAGGAAAAACGTGTAGCAACTCTATTTCTGTTTGATATGGCTAATATGTTTGAGGAAAAATCAACCATAAAGTAAACATACATCGTGTGTGTGTGCTTTTGTACATGCGTGTGTGATGGAAATCCCGTCCTTGCTAGGTCAATATCATTCAAGCTAAATGGCAATTTCTTTAAAAACAATTAAAAAGCACACTCATTAATATTCTGGGAAAAGACCCTTAAGGTAAATTTTCCATTATATTCTGGTTTGTTTGAGCAGAAACAAAAGTCCACACTTGGCTGGAGTAGCCTGATAGTCCACTGTTGGTAATGTAGGAATGTATGTGTGTGTGGTACACGATGGGATCTTCTCTATCCACATCTGGTCTCTTTCATCCTATCCTTGTTGAAAAACAGATTATCTGGTGTAGCAACTCCCACATGATCCTCCACTGAAGCCCGACTAACAAACACTACCAGCTGAGTGCAGTGCCAAACCAAGTCAAGACACCTTATGTGGAATTAAATTCAGGTCAGCACTTGCTGAGTGAATGTTTTTGTTTCTGTAACACCAGCGAACCCCCGATGCCGCTTTTATCTTGCCAGCCGAAAAACAACTTCTCTCTAAACCAGACAGTACGTCTGCAAGATGTAATCGCTATACCGAAGGCTGCAATTTGAGCATATTGCAATGACAAAACAACCGGCAGCTTCACGGTCGCATACATTAGCTGACATTTGTTTCAGATAGCTTTGCATTATATGTAGCTCTAAACTTTAGGTGAGCCCCGTCTCATAGTACTGCTAAGTTTTCAACAGTGAACACTTACCGGCATTGTAATAGCGGTCCAGCTTCTCCCATAGGGGCTCATCCTCATGCTGGAGACTGGACAGTTTGAGAGGTTCATAGATGGAACCTGAGGAGAGACAAATCTATTACAAACCAACTTTAAAAAGTGTTACAGTTACAAATAGTGAACTACAGCATCTTTTCTACAAAAAATAATGCCTTTGTTGTCTCATGAATCTTTAAAAAATAAAATACTAAAAATGATTCTCAATTATGTCTCTTTAACAACATTATGCCTTCATGACTAAACTGAACTGAGGTAAAATTGATTGTTTTCATCTTAGAGTTACTTAGTGATGTTTTTTCAATCTTGAGACAATAGTGTTATTTCATATAGTCCAATGTGTAGATGAAAAAGGTCTGCAGTCAGCAGTTGCTTGTGAATATCTTTTTTTCATAAAATTATCTTACTCGCGAGTAATTTAATAAAAAAAAAAATACAAAGTAAAGAAAAAAAACAAAAAACAAAACAATGCAAACACATGCCATCAATAAACTCTGTTTTTCACTGCAACACATCGCATCGCAAAGGGCTCAGCACACAAAACAATATTCAAGCCCCGAGCTGAAGATTCAAATGGTAACGTGGCTCGCCAACAGATATTTCCAAACGTGTTCCGCTGAGCTGAGAGAGAGCCGGAGTTTGAGGAAAACCCCCATCTGTTAGACTTTCTCTATTTTCAGACACTTTTCCCTCTGCTGAGATTTGCATTTTAATAGGTTCGACCTTGGGTCAATACCACAGGTACTGAAAAATTCACATTCTGGCTGAAATTAGCATAATTTCCATCAGCTTAAAAGATGCAGGGGACAAAGCCAATCCATCTCTTTTTAAAGATAACACTCTAAAAGACCATAGAGGAGGTCCAATATTCCAATTTTAATTTCTAACATGAGATCAGACAACTGTGGGTATTCGGCGTTTGGCTGGTTTTAAACAATCCCATGACTAACTTGACACTAATATAGATGCAGTATGTCATATGACCTGATTAATACTGTTTATTAATATTAATACATATTTATTTGGTGTCACTTCTGGGTCTCTCACATTTACTGTGGAGGAGCAAGGAGATTATTCATATGGCTGAACCAACATAAGACACACATGAGTTTTGCTGACAGTTTAAAAGAGCGCGAGCATGTGGATGCCTTGTATTTTGTTTTCTCGTGATCAGAAAATAATTATGCTGTGATCTCAACATCGCGGGCTGCCTCCTATTCAGGAAATAAAGTATAATAACCTTCTCATGTTCGGATAAGGAAAAAGATTTCCTCGCGCTCTTTACCCGTGTCCTCTCTGGCCTTCTGTGTGTGGCCGACTGCATTGTTTTCCTCTTTTGTGCCGCCACTACTTACCAAGATGGTGTGCTTTCCGATGAGGCCGGGCACTCGCGGCCACTGAAGCGGCCATTCTCAAAAGGTGAAATTAAGGCCAATCATCTCTCTCAGCTAAATCACAAATCTACAGCAATTCACAGGAAGGAGTTAGTAGCATAGAGTTAGATTTGTTGTTTTAGACATGCATGAATCAACAATGACTTACACCCTGGGTGATGAGGATCATGTACAGCAAGCAAGGAATTACAATGCATTGTATATACTTAGGAATGCTAGTTATGTTAACCCTTATAGAGAGTCAAGATGAAATATTATATGATGGTAATGTAATTATGAGAAGAACTTCAGTAAATTGAGACAGCACTTGACTGATTATTACCCTTGATACTTCAAAATGCTATGGTCTCATGATGCTGCACTGCTGTGTTAATACTGAGAATGGATGCACCTTATCACATATGTTCCCTTTGATTGATAGACAAGTCATAATAGCTGCCCTCAGATGAGGAGATGTTGTCCTTTGCAAGCTGCCTTTTAGCAGGTACAGAATCCCCAAACGACAGCAGTTATTATGACACTACTAGATGATTTATGGAGGTACAATGTTAGGAATTCTTTGTTTAGCACACCACAAAAAAAGCAGTATGACAACAAAGAATGTACAGATAGAATAACTGACTACATTTACAATCAGTGTAGTCTGAAAGTGAATTTGGAATAACCTGGTCATAATGTATATTATTTTTCTCAGTTGTATCACTTAAAAAAATGGTGACCCTACAGTTATTTTTAAGGTTTTTATTTATTTGTTGTTGTTGTTGTTGTAATCCTTGCAATGTACAACAACCTTCAAAGTTGTATGATGGGATCACTTTCCCTCGAGAGCCATGCTGACTACCAGTGTAGTGATAACACAGTCTACCAGCTTCCACCACGGGCCCCACTACTCACAACCACATGCAGCGCGCACACAGTACAGTTAACTAAGGGGTGAGGTGTAACAGCAAAGGGGAGACCTGTTGAAAGGCTCTTAAAATAGCCCCTGGTTGCTGCACATTTACACCTCTGACCTTTAATGCTTGTACCGTCAGTGCAGTGGACAAATGCAATGGGCAGATCAGGTCAATTTTACCCCGTGCAGAGTGGCTTTACAAACACACGGTCTCACACAAGCACAACAGAAACAATCGGACGTGTCACGCCGCACGGTGTCATGCGAAGTAATAAGTCTGACCTGATCTTTTTGATCGGGCTTTGAATTCCAAGAGTTTCCATCCGACATCCGCAAGGCTCGCCATGTTTACACACTGTCCAATTCGCCAGAATGTTAAAAGATTTCCGGTGACTTCCTTCAAAATAAAATGGAGGTAGCAAGGCTCCCGAAGAACAACATAAGTATACACATTTTAAGTGGCCTTTTAATAGCAAATTCATGACAGTAAAACGTTTAATGCCATATTAATGAGTATCATTGTATTTAATTTGTTAAAATGTATTCACTTTACTTTCTTATGAGCCTGATAGTTTATTTATTTTGAAGATCAACTTCACTTCCGACTTAGCTCTAGCTAACCTTTTCTAGCTTGAGGCAGTTATCAACTTTCAAACTACCCGTAGCACGACACTGCCGTAAACGAGGACACTCTAGTGTCGCATTGTGTAACGCAAACCTTATCCTGGTGCATTTATTCCACCTCTTTCTAATACAATACATTCAGCTGAGCGGCTATGTAAATTATAAAATAATATTTAATCTATAACACCATTTAATCGAACGAAGCTGCTATTTCACTATGCCATAAAGCGGTGTGCCGTAATACAGTTAGTGTTGTGAGGAGCTGCACCTGCACTAGAGGGAGGATGTGGAGATTCAAATTCAATATTTGGGCATTTTTGTTACTTTTTGTGGGACAGTATAGCGCATTTGCTCTTCAAGATGTAACGGCCGAACTTTTCGGTTCCGAAAATTATGGGACGGTGGCGGCGTTTGGAGATTTTTATGCGGATAAACAGACAGACATCTTCATCATCAGAGGACGTACGTTAGAGCTTCAGTAACGTTACCTTGCTCGTGTTTGCACACGTCACGTATAGTGTTTTAAAAATGTGTTTAGGGTAGTTGTATGAAATGAATTGCTATACTTCCGTAGATATTTACCTTTATAGTTTGTCTAACATGGCTCCGTGCTTACAAGTCCGTCGCTATATTTCTTTGAAAACGACTTAACAGTTGTAGCGAAGATGAAATTAGCTGTGTATACATGCCTATATTGACTTCTTCCTGTTTCAGAGGCTGAACTGGTGATCTTGTTGGCTGACTCGAAAACACCTTACTTCAAGCCCAAAGTTAACATCTCAAAGGACATTTTCCCGAGGTACATGCCACTTTCAGGGCTATTTTCCTTTCAATACATTCCAGTTACACATTATATGTAACATGTCGTGTCCTCATTTCCTCTTTTTTCCCTGTCAGTACTGAGGAAGTGACTCACGTTTCAGGGTGGCAATGTTTACTTTTTAGGAGGTGGGAATAGCTCCACATAAGAGCAGAGTCATTGTCTCTCACTTTAATGGACAATCTTCCTGTTCAGGGACACCGTCATCACCAGCGTGGTTCCTGGGGACTATGACGGAGACTCCCAGATGGATGTCCTCCTTACAGCTCAGATCCCGACCTCCAAGATGACAACTGTGTTCATCTTTTGGGGGAACAACCAGACATTAGGTACAGCTTTAACAGCGAATGGGTGCTGAGGGTGGGTGGGGGCCAGAGAAAACGCAGATGATGGATGTAGCTCACACAAATTAAGATTGGAGTAGAGCCGTTGTTGTTGTTGTTTTGCTCCACCTGCAATGACAAGTGAGCGTGTCCGTTATGGAGAAGGTGTATGAATCTGATGTATTTGGGAATGATAAATGATAAAACCACATGTTATGAACCATATAGACAGATTTAACAGAAAATAAACTGTGGTGATGCTCATCAAGCAAACACATCAGTTACAAAGTTTATACAGATAGCAAGTATTACACTGTTCAGGGTTTTATTTTAGTAGCACTTAATTATAACAGAAAATAAAGAACCTGAGTCAAATTCATCAGCCCCCCTTTTGCTGGAAGACAGGCTGTCATTTTTGTTTTTTTATATCAGATTTCCTCATGTGCCTAAATCAATATCGAACTCAACTTTGCTCATAGCTGTTGATATTTGAACCAAGTAAAATCAGTTTAGCCTGACTTGATCAGCGCGCTGGCTTTCTACGCTGTGTGGGCTTGTTGAAACTGTTCTTCTTCTGCAGATGTGAGTGGGCGGCTCATGCTGAACAAGACCTTTACAGATCAACCTCTTGTTATGGAGTAAGTATCGGTCTGAACGGCGCTTACATAAGTTCTACTGTGGATGTTTTGCTCAGGATGCCGGTCATGGAAAAACAAATGTGCCTTATGTTTACTTTTGCTAGATTTCTATGTTCAAACATTTTAAAATATTGTTCCATGTCAATACACACGTTTGATTTATTTTTTATTATTATACTTCCCGTGTCAGATGAATGTACACCGACTTACCAGTTTATTAGATACTCTTGTGCAATCAAATAAAAACCACTACTGTAATTTAAATTCTGCCCGCCCAAAATGAGTGCAAATGCCAAAACATATTTAAAAGACTTTATGTGATGCAGTTGAATACGACAGCATAGAGATGTATCTACGCCTCTCTGACAGCGTCAACAGGTTTATACGGTATGAACATAAGCTGTTACCTCAGTGCACGTTTTAATAAAGTGGAACTCTTCCCACAGTTTCAATGGGGACATGATCCCGGACATTTTTGGAGTCACCAATAATCCGAATACACCCCTGCTCACCGAAGTGTGCTATCTCACCAAAAGGTAATGTAATCATTCTCAAACTGGCTCAGAATTTTGTGTGTTTATTTCTGATTCTCTCTCACCTTGAATTGCTTTCTAAAATGTGCAGCTTTGTGTTTCTTTCCTCGCCTTTAGGGTTCCTGTGTGGGGGAAAGCACTGAGTTCATCTGTCAATATGCGCAACCCTCACTCCAACGCTTTCATTGACCTCAACAAGGACTTCACCGCTGGTGAGTCAAGTGGTGTTTGAGCAATGTCTAACGAATGAGAAACAAATGTAACATGCATACCCGTCAGGGAAGCTTTGCTCTACACGCATCAGTGTTATCAGATCTTTGCCTTTTCAGCTACGAAAACTGACCTCTTTTTTTAAATCGACAAAACCTCTTAATTTTTTAACAGCAGATGAAGTGAGCGTAAAAGGCCGTTCTATAATGGAAAAACGAGCTTTAGTACAATGTGACAGTAAGCGTTTTCCCTTCTAGAATGTACATATTCAAGACACTAGGGGAGTTATTACAAAGCCCACCACTGATTATTATCATCTGGAATATTACATTTAGCCCATCTGCATGTTTTCATTATAGCTATTTAACAACACTGAGCACATAAGTGAACACAGCTAGAAAACCAAACGTACTCACCTCCCCTCAGACCCCGCTGTGTGCCAAGCACCTCGCATTCTTGACTGCACATTGTGCCACCTGCCATTCATTATAACTGGGACCTAAATCCCTTTAGCCTTACTGTATTTTGTTCTTCCACGATGGGCTTTCAGTGTTTTTCTGCATGAATCAATAAGTGTCATCAATGTGTTGGAGACAGCAAGGTGTAGAACAAGACACTAAAGAAACTAAAGTGGAACAAAGAACAGCCATCACTGAAATGACAAATCCTTTTGGGGCATCGGAACATTAAAATGGGGCGTAAGTCTGCACGTTAAAGCCGATCGCTAAGTTCCTGTTGCGCAGTGTTGGAAAGTATTCAGAGTACAGTTACTTGCGTACAATTTTGGGGACCTTTTAACTTGTGTTAACTTGAGTGTTTCTATTTTCGGCTACTTTGATTTTTCATAAACAAAACATCCCTCTTAGATACTGATTAACCCATATATAAATTTTTCATATATGATAGCATAATCTCATAAGAGACATTGAGTCGAGGAACGAGCACTAGGAAAGGCAGTAGTACAAATCTGGCCAGTTGAATTATTAAAAACTTGACAATTAGTTAAAAAAATAAATGTCGAAATCTGTGTGGAAATTGCACTTTTAAAACACAATTCCCAGCACAAACACGCTGTAGTTTAACAATTCATTGCTTTTATTTGTTTATTTCGGAGGACTGTATGGTGCACAACCAGCAGCTCATGTGCAGTTACAAATTTTCTATTTCCTGGTACATTTGAGCTGCCAATGCCACAAGAAAACCCTGCTTACATTTGCAGTGCTCAGTGTCTCATTGGGACATGCAGTCCATGTGATCAGTTTATTAAAAGATCTACTGTATGTAGAAGAGTAGTAACACATTTTCGGATGCTGCCTTCTGTTCTTACTTGTGACATTCCTTAAGAACTCATAGGATGAAGAGATTGTGTAGTTGTGAACTTGATACCCACAGGCATTTCCTTCCACAAAGTCCCCCCCCCCCCGAGGAAACTCCAGGACCAAGTCAAGTGACCAAAACATCTGTTGAAAGCCACCAATTTTCAAGTTGACTTAGAGAGAACGTAACAGCCATTTTCTTCACCAGTGAATGGAGAAATCACCTCCTTCTTGTTTTACAGCATCTCACTCCTGTCCTTCTGCCCACCAAGTGTAGCGATGTCACTTAGACTTATGGGAGGATTTTTTATTTATTTTTCCCCCCTCTGGAAACTAATCCTCGTGTTTAAGGTAATCAGAGAGGATTTAGTCGTGTCATACTCGCAGCAGGTATCTTTTTGTGCTGTGTGGTTTTATTCCCAGGGCTGTCACGGTTTAACCAGAGCAGATTTTAATTAATATTTAATCTGTTTAAGGATTAGGAGAAAGTCAATGCACTTCCACTTTTTTTGTGGCAAACTTAAATATGTTCTGGTAGCAATATTTGGTGTTTTGGGGTATATTTGAATACAGATTGTACTGTTCCTGCAACTCATCAGTCAGAGTGATGGCCTGCATATCAGCCTTTCTCTAGGAGTCACCGCTTACTTCCTTTTTCACACCCAAGTCTACACACACACACACACAGAAACACACACAAGGACAGTGGTCATTAAATCCTCGTGACCTCCTAAGTGTGTTCAGCTGCCTTCAGCTCGCTGCGGGTGGATGCGCAGAGCTCGAGGAGGAGAACCAGTGGGCGAAAGAAAACCCTACTGTCGGCTACATCTGGTGGATGTCAGACTCTTTGGCTACGACTGTGTGTGTGGGGGGGGGGGGGGGGGGGGGGGGGAGAGAGAGAGAGAGGGAGAGGGAGAGGGAGAGGGAGGACGGGAAGGAGAAATAAAGCTGAGTCTGAGAGGACGATGGTTGGATGAGTGGTTTGAAAGAAAAGGATGGTAGGAAAGATGGAGGGAGATGAGCGAGGCGCTGGGCGAGTCTTCTTCATGGCTCAGCTCACGGTCTGCTGTGACCACCTGCTACTCTAAGCGGGACCGGCTGGGGCACCACAGTGCGGCTTAAGCAGGGAGAGAGTGACTTTTAAAGGAGCTGTATGTAACACTCAGAGCATTAATATAGCAGCACACAACTATTTGCGAGGTACAGATATAGCGGAGTAATGGCGTCCCGACCTCTCCCTCGGTGTGTGTTGTCAGAGCTTCTTTTTGCTCTGTTGACATAGCCGGGCCGGAGCGCGTCCTTTTTAAAGCTTGTTCGTGCATGTGGGCGTAGCCCCACTGGTACGTCACGGCTGCTCTCATACTCCTACTGCTGTCAGCACTCTCACCGTCGTTTACACTGTTAGCACGGTTAGCTGTTAGCCGCCGTCTCGCCCTCGCCAAGTTCAGAGCCGTTGCGAGGCAATGGAAATGCTCCCGATCTCATATCATGCTCATTTAAAGACAGGCTGGGTCTCACTAGCTAGCCAGTTTAAGGTTGATAAGAGTTTGAAGCTTTTCAGCGGCCTTAAATGTTTTTATAGATTCATACTGTCTTCATGATATGAAGGAGGTGCTAGCCAAGGTTAAGGTTTCAGCCTAAATACAAATATTTTTTTTCGAAATGCCCCTCAATAAACGGTACAACTCAACAATACCACGAACTAAAGCTTCCAAATGACCATAGAGACAGTCAACACACAGTAAGCTTCTTGAAGGTTCAATGTGATCTGGGAACATCTCTCCTCTATAGTGCGTCCATACAATCTAAACGTACAGCCATTGGTTAAGAAAGCGGGGAAAAAAGCCAAGTATAAGCAGGACACAGCCGGTGTCTGTATAGTGCGTTTATGGTCTTAAATCCAAAGTGAAAGAAAAGAGAATACAACTTGTATCTTTGTTTCTAGCTCAGAGTGATTTAAAGATGCCTTAACATTGTTTAATATTTATGAGTATAAAATGAGGCATGAATGCACATTAATCTTATACATCTTAATTAAAGTCAAGCAGAGTTGAGTTACTGTGGAGAATAAGCGTGAAACACTCGAAAATGCAAATTGCACAAATGGGGAAAATGATAGAAATTAACCACCGTGTTTGAATTAAACGGAGGCAGATACTGGAGGGGCACTTGATGAGTTTGTCTAAAATGAGTGTACAGAGAAGGGACTAACTAGATCTACTAAACAACATATAAATAATGGCAGTGGGATGCCTTGCCTCTCAGGTGTTCATGCGTGGAAGTGTCCCGCCTCTCACCTCCCAGTACAGTGAGCTACTTTGTTAGCGTGGTCCAAGGAGGCTGAGGGCTGTTTCTGGGTCTCCTTGTCACGACTCCAATTTCAGTCCAATGTCATAGCTGTAAACAGTCCCATGGTAGTGTATTGGCTGCCCTCACTACATCAGCACTGCCAGAGAGAAAAAAAAAAAGAAGTCTGGAATTATTTCCTGGCCGGTGTCAAGGCCTCATTTAGCCCGCTTATTGTACTCTCCAGCCAACCGACCTGGAGACGACACACCGCATACGGCTCGTAATCTCTTTTGTTATTATCGCGCTCCTCCAGCCAGTGTCTTTAACAGCGGCGCATTCATAACGGCTTTGCGTTCATGCTCTTTTTGCCAGTTATTTTGTCTCTGTCTTCGCACATTGAGGGATTTCAGGTCTCTTAAAGGAAGTTGTTGTCGTTCCCCCCCCAGCTCACTGTATGACTTTTGTACTAAATCTGGAGTTCATAGTTTAAGTAAATACAAGACAACGGAGTGGACGAAATATCACATGAGAGAAGTTTATGCGGCTTTGCACATATCCACTGAGTTAACATGTCGTCAACATTTTGCCAGAGTAACATTAAGCCGGTCTAATAGTCAGCGCCTACTGTGGAAACAGTGTTACGTACAGTATATTGCTGTCTTTTCTTTGCACCACAAAAGCAAAGGCATCATTAAGCATTGAGCCGGCTTTGTAGACGAAGTGGTTCTGTTCTGGTTACTCCTCACCACAGTGACAACTAATTAGCAGGAAAACGGCGTTTGCAGGACAGCCAGGAGGTTCAGATGTATACAATACACTGATGTGAGCAGGTGCTTCAATAGCCCTCAAAGCGTCCGTCAGCATCAAAGCCAAATGACCACAGATATTCGCCCGTATTTCTTCGGTCTCCAGTTCAGGATCACGGTATCCCACAGGGGCCACTTCACAACATGTGACATCAGAAAGAGCCCCGCTGGGCAGGGAAGCTGTCTGCAGCAAGACGGGAACTTGTTTGAGGGGAAAAGGCAGTAATTGCAAAGTAATTATAGATGCCATTTTGAGAAAAAAAACATGCCCAAAGACGGCATTACTGGCAATACAGGAGCCGTTGCCTAGCAATTAAACTGGCTCTGTGTCGAAGTGGCTTGTTGATTGTCTGACTAATAATGTGGTGGTGGGGGCAAGAGAACAGATTTGCCACTGAATAAGGGAGGCCAAGAAGAAGAATGGATTATACAGGGATTAAGTTTACATTTGGATGGCAGAGTCTGGCACTTTAAATCGCCGTTTTGGTAATCAGAGTACTGTCACAGGGAGAGGAGGAATATCGCAAGGGTTTTGAATAATAGTACTGGCAATTCCTTTCTCTAATAATGATAATAATGTCTTATTGCTTC